GCAGCTCAGCGGTTTAGCTCACTACGCCATTAGATTGTAAAATAGTTAAACGCTGAGAATTTGCTACTCGCAGCTTCCCCTGGCATTGTCAGATTTGCTGTGACGTCTTCAATTTACAATGCCATTCCTACTACCCAAAATAATTATTTAAAAAAATTGATAAAAATTGCACCTTGAAAGAAGAATAAGAACGCATTTTAACTGATTTTGAGAAAGCATGCAAGGCCTTGAAAAAGATGAAATGTAAGATTATTTCATTGATGGCAATGGGAAGGAGACAGGAAAGAATTGCACATGGAGTAGGATAATTTGTAGAAATAGATGAAGACAAGGGGAACCCAGAGCAAGCTGTCCAAAGAAAGATAAGGAAAGAAAAGTGGGCTGACTAGAACAGTGTTTCTCAACCTTCCTCATGCCACGACCCCTTATTACAGTGACCCCCAATCATAACATTATTTTCGTTGCTACTTCATAAATGCCATTTGCTCCTGTTATGAATCGTAATGAAAATATCAGAAATGCAGGATGTATTTTCAGTCACTGGACCAAATTTGGCACAAATACCCAATAAGCCCAAATTTGAGTACTGGTGGGGTTGGGGGGGGGGGGGTTGATTTTGTCATTTGGGAGTTGCCAAAGAGGTTGCTAAGACCATTAGAAATATACCGTATATACTCGAGTATAAGTCGACCCAAATATAAACCGAGACACCTAATTTTACCACAAAAACTGGGAAAACGTATTGACAGAAGTATAAACCAAGGGTGGAAAATGTATCAGCAACTGGTAAATTTCAAAATAAAAACAAATACCAATAAAATTACATTAACTGAGGTGTCAGAAGGATAAATGTTTTTGAATGTTTACATAACACTGTAATTTAAGATAAGACTGTCCAACTCTGATTCTAAGCACCTTCAATGTGCTTATGTATCCTTCCAATAATAATGAAGAGAATAACATAATAAATGTAATAATAATAATAATAATAATAAATGTAATAATAATAATAAAAATGTAATAATAATAATAATAAATGTAATAATAATAATAATAATAATAATAATAATAATATGTTGTGGCGCAGCTGGCTGAGTGTCAGCTGCATTAAGATCACTCTGACCAAAAGGTCATGAGTTCGAAGCCAGCCCGGGTTGGAGTGGGTTTCCAACCAATTGTGTAGCCTGTTGTCGACCTTTACAACCCGAAAGACAGTTGCATCTGTCAAGTAGGAAAATTAGGTACCACCTTAAAAGTGTGGGGAGGCTAAATTAACTAATTTATGAGGCCATAAAAAAGACTCCAGCAAAAAAGCATGCGGGGAATACGCAAGTACTTCATCAGTGTCGCAGATGGACGATGAAAGCAACAGCTCCCCTTGCAGACAGGAAAAGTTAAATAGCCTCTGTTTATGTCTGCATATGTTGTATGTTAAATTGGCATTGAATGTTTGCCATATATGTGTACACTGTAATCCGCCCTGAGTCCCCTGCGGGGTGAGAAGGGCGGAATAAAAAAGCTGTAAACAAACAAACAAACAAATAAATAAATATCAAGTAGACAGAACATATTGTAAAGAACAAAAATAACTTTCTGGCCTTGCATCGCACGTTTTAGTGCAAATATTAAGACACAAATAGTGTTCAATTCAGCAAGTAAAATAATGGAAATGCAATAATAACAGTAATAATAGAGTAAAATAATAAATGTAATAATAACATTAATAAAGTAAAATAATAATGTAATAATAGAGTAAAATGATACATGTAAAAATTACAATAATAAATATGGTAAAATAATAATGTAATAATAACATTAATAAAGTAAAATAATAATGTAATAATAACATTAATAAAGTAAAATAATAATGTAATAATAATAGGGTAAAATGATAAATGTAATAATAATAATAATAAATAGAGTAAAATAATACATGTAATAAAAATAATAACAGAGTAAAATAATAAATAACCTTGACTTGAGTATAAGCCAAGAGGAACATTTTCAGCCTATAAAAAGGGACGAAAAACTAGGCTTATACTCGAGTATATACAGTATGTTTTCTGATGGCCTTTGGCAACCCTGCTGAAACCCCACCGCAACCCACCCCAGAGGTCCTGACCCCCAGGTTGAGAAACACTGGACAAGAAAAATTGAAGGGATAATAGAAGTTTATATACGCTTTCAAAGTAGTATCTTCCTCTTAGCAAAGGACTGAACAACGAGAGGAGGCAGGCGGAGTGGTAGTCAGAGTTGCGATCAAGATTCTGTTTTAAGTTAAATAAGGCCAAAATATCTAACTAGGTAGAGTCAACATTACAATTTGAATTAATCTTTGGTTGCCATTTTCTAATTCTAGCACTCTGTGACACCTTAAATTCATTCAGTAATTCAACAACAAGGATTCTAATTACGAACGCAACACCTCCAAATGTTATTTCACTAGTCTGGCTAAAAACAACCAAAGATCTATTGTCAAAAGCTTTTATGACTGGAATCACTGGGTTGTTGTAGGTTTTTTCGGGCTATAGGCCATGTTCTAGAGGCATTCTCTCCTGACGTTTCACCTGCATCTATGGCAAGCATCCTCTAAGAACATGGCCATATAGCCCGAAAAAGCCTACAACAACCCAACCAAAGATCTATTAGGGAGCAAGAATACGGTTATTTTTCTTCTCATAATACCAATATGTCAGGGAAGGAACAAAAGTTTTCTGATAGCTCGAAACATTACTATAAAACAGTATTTCTACTTTTGGAAATGGCTTCTTCTAATCCATTTCAAAAAGACAGTCTTAAAGTATTACCTTCAAATGAATCAGGCTCATATTTGAAAGTATTTTGATTCCATAGTGTTTCTAGAGCAGACATGGGCAAACTTTCTAACTTGGGGGCCGCATGGTGAGTTCTCTCCAAGCCCACCCCCCTGCCCTTTCCTCCCCTTCCTCTTCTCTTCTGGAGGCCGAAAGTGAAGGAAAGACAGGAAACGTTTGGATCCCAAAAGGGTTGGCCTTGGTCAGGATGAGATGGTGGATGGGAGACACCCCACATTGCCTACTCCTGATACAGAATCCTAGAGCTGGAAGAGACCCCCAAGGGCCATCCAGTCCAACCCCCTGCTATGCAAGAAGCCACAATCAAACCACTCCCGATAGACAAGACTCTGTGCGAAAGCCTCCAGAGAAGGAGACTCCACCACTCTCCCAGGCAGACTACACTAAGGAAGTTCTTCCTCATCTTATCAGTCAAATCTCTTTTCCTACCATTTGAAACTATTCCTCCCTTGTGCCTTGATCTCTAGAGCAGAAGAAAGTCAGATTCCTCCCTCCTCCTCCTCCATGGGACATCCTTTCAGATCTTGAAAGATGGTTCTCATGTTCTCTCTCAACCTTCTCTTCTCCCAGCTCAACATCCTCCAGGAGGAAAGGAGGGTAGGAAAAAGAGAAGGAAGGGTGGAAGGGAATAGAGGGAGGAAGGAAAGAGGGAAGGAAATAAAGACAAAAGGGAGAGAAGGAGGGAAGGAGAACAAGCAAAGGAAGGAGGGCATAAAGAGGGAAGGAAGGACAAAAGTCTGGAAAGGAAGGAGGGAGGGAGAAAGAGGGTGGTAAGGGAGGGAAGGAGGAAGGAAAGGGATAAGAAAGGGAGGAAGAGAGGGTGGAAGGGAATGGAAGGAAGGGAGAAGGAAGTAAAGACAAAAGGAAGAGAGAGGAAGGAGGAAAAAGGGGGAGGGGAGGAAGAAGGGAGAAAGGGAGGAGGAAGAGAGGGAAGGAGGAAGGAAAGACAAAAGGGAGAGAAGGAAGGAAGGAGAACAAGCAAGGGAAGGAGGGCGTAAAGAGGGAAGGAAAGAGGCTGGAAAGGAACGAAGGAGGAAGGGAGAAAGAGAGTGGTAAAGGGAGGGAAGGAAAGAGAAGAAAGGAAGAGAGAAGGAGAAGGAGAAAAAAAGGAAGGAAAGGAGAAGAGAGAGGGAAGGAGAGAGAAAAGGGAAAGAAGGAAAAAAGGGTGGAGGGGAAGGAAGAATGGACAGGAAAAGAGGGAAGGAAGGGAGGGAGGGAAGGAAAGGGAGAAAGAAGAAAAGACAAAAGGGAGGGAAGGAAGGAAGAGAAAGAAAGAGAAATATGGAAGGAAGGAAAGGTGGAAGGGAATAGAGGGAAAGGGAGGAACGAAAGAAAGAAGGAAAACAAAAGGGAAGGAAGGAAGGAGAAAGAGAGAGAGAGAAGGAAGGAGGGAGGAAAAAGGGAAGGAAGGATGAAAGGGTGGTAAGGGAAGGAAAGAGGGAGAAAGAGGAAGGTAAGGAAGGGAGGAAGGAAAGAGAGAGAGAGAAGGAAAGGATAGTGAGTGAGGAAGGCCGGAGAAGAGCCCAAAGGGCCCCCGGGCCTAGGTTTTTTTATTTATTTGCAGCATTTATATGCCGCCCTTCTCACCCCAAAGGGGACTCAGAGCGGCTTACAAGATTTATTTTCATACAATATATTACATTATTAGCATAGTACAATATAAGTATTATATATTACTATATTGCACTATACCATTATATTGTAATATTATTAGTAATATTACGTGTAATGTAAATATATAATTGTAATTATTTATTATTATTATTACTAGTATTATATTGTATTACATTATAATATTATAAATATTATATGTATATACAATATACTACATTATATTACTAGTTTGCCCAGACCTGTTCTAGAGGGAACCGCTACACACCCAAATTCTGATTTAAATGATTTCTTAAAAAAATCAGGAATAGGAGCGTTTGGATGTTAAAAGACGACTCACATAAACTGAGGTCCCAAAAACAACACTATCTTTGCCGAACCACCAACCCACATCAATGGGTGTAAAGCCAGTCTCTCGTATTAAGGTTCACACTTAGCCAGATGCTAGCTCTACTAAGCTGCTGACCATAACTGATCAAATCTGGATTCCTTGCTGGAGGCAACTGCCCAAGGCTTTCATGCTTCTCACTCAGAGCCATGACCTCCCTTCCCCACCTTGGAATTCTGTGTTGTCAAGGCCCCGGATGGCCTCGACGGCATCCTCCGCTCGCTCCATGTGCACAAAGGCATAATCCTTCACAATGTCGCACTCGAGGACGGGCCCGTACTCCTCGAACTTGGACCGCAGCTCGAGGTTGGTGCAGCTGGTGCTGATGTTGCCCACATGCAGCTTGGTGGAGGCCTTGCTCTTGTTCTTGCTGGCCTCCACGTTGATGCAGACCCCGTGCAGCTTGTAGTGGTGCAGGTTGCGGATGGCATCCTCCGCTGCAGTCTTGTCCTCAATATGCACGAAGCCGTAGTTCTTGATGATGTCGCATTCCAGGACTCGCCCGTACTGCTCAAAGAGCGAGCGGATCTCCTGCTCGGTGGCCTCCCGGGGAAGGTTGCCAATGAAGAGCTTCACCATGGCAGCGTCAGCTGAGCAGAGGAGCAAGGGAAGAGTTAATAATAGCCTAAGCCAGGACAGACCAAACAGATATATTAAGCACTTATTATATCAAGTTGCTGCTAACTGTGAGAGAAATAAGAATAAACACTGCATGGCTATCATCTTCCTCCCAGTAGACTCAAATGAAGGAAAAGCTTTATGAGAACCACCACTCCTCTTGGCGTCCCTCCAACAACAGCAAGGGTATCCCTCTGGGCAGCTAAACCAGGAAATCCCAACTGGATGGCCCCCCACAAGAGAGGGTATTCCTCCAGGGCAAACCAAGAATGGCAACTTGGAAGTCCCTGAGCAGACTCAGAAGTGGAGTGGGTAGATCAAAAGACAACCTGGCTAAAAGAATCCCACACCATACCAATGCCCTGCCTCATGCACAGAGGAAGAATTGTTTACAACTACAGATAATGCAGTTGCTGTTGCCTGGTTTTGGTCAAAGATTATTTAGCTGCTTGTGCTCCCTCTATTTTTTTTATCAGATGTATACTTATTCAATAAAAAAGTAAAAAATAACTTCCTATTATAACTATGAATTGCTTGTAAGTCAGATATTTGTATCTCTGGGATGGCCTGTATTGTATTTACTTGTGTGAATGCGAATGACCTGTGATAAACAAACGGAAGGGAAGGTCTTAAGTCTTCTCGGCCCCAAGAGCGCTGGTGCTTCACTATTTAAGCCCCAACTTCCACAATTCCATAGCACTGAACCACAGCAGTCAAAGGGGCATCAAACTGCATTCATCTGTATGCTTGCCCACAACGCCCTGCCTCATGCACAGAGGAAGAACTGTTAAAGGATAAACACCAGGGGTCCTCAAACTAAGGCCCCAGGGCTGGACATGGCCCTACAAGGTCATTTACCCAGCCCTCGCTCAGGGTCAACCTAAGTCTGAAACGACTTGAAAGCACACAACAACAATCCTATCTCATCAGCCAAAAGCAGGCCCACACTTCCCATTGAAATACTAATAAGTTTATATTTGTTAAAACTGTTCTTCAATTTAATTATTGTATTTTTTTTTTGTATTACAAATAAGATACGTGCATTCATGGGTTTTTTTTTCAAACTATAATCCAGCCCTCCAACAATTTGAAGGATTGTGACCTGGTCCTCTGTTTAAAAAGTTTGAGGACCCCTGCTATAGACAATGTGGCCGCTTGTGCTCCATCTATTTTTTAACAGTTTTATATTTATTTATGAAACACTTTTGACATGAAATAAAATAAAGCACTTACTGCTTATTATACGAATGCATTGCAAATTTTATAATCATATAACACCATGTAACAAAATTTTAAAAAATGTGTTTCTGGTGTGAAAGTATTATTTCCTGTTTAATTGTGCGGTACATGCTTTGAAAGTAATTCTCATACTCCAGAAACTTTGTTTTTGTGGCCACAAACTATGATGAATTGGTTGAGACTTTATCAGATATTCACGGAAAAACTAGAGCAAAATGTGTTGCAGGAAGTTTTTTTTCAAAGTTTTTTTTTTCAATTTAATAACCTTTTCCTGTATTTTTTTGATGGAACCAGTTAGAAAATAATGAAATTTATAACCCAGGAACTGTTACATAGTGCAATCACTGACTTAGAATAGGCCCCTAAGGTCAACCAATTGAATCCCCTTTTGCAAGACAGGAAGACACCATCCAAGCCTTTTTCTGTTTCCGCCATCTGCTTCTCTGGTCCTGGACCTCAACAAAGAAGCTCCTGTTTTGTAGCAGGTTTCCTATGAGGCGGGTGAGACGGTAGTCCTTTGTGAGATTATACATTTTTCTCAGGAGGAGGCGGTGGTTGACAGTCTCATAATTCCCTGGCAGGTCTATGAAGACAGCTCCTGTGATCTGCTGCCTTTCAAAGCCATCTTCTATGTGCCGAGTCAGGTTCAGCACTTGCGATGTGCAGCTTTTGCCTTTCCTGAAGCCGGCCCGCCTCAGATTAGGGACAGAGAGTTTCATCTATGCTCATGATCGTGCCATTACCGCTCAAGCAGGGAGCTTTGAGATGGTTGAACAGAAGTTCTCCGAAGCTCTAGGTGCTCTCACTGCCTATTACAGGGAAAACCAACTGATCCCTAATCCATCTAAAATACAGAAATGTGCTTTTCACCTTAAGAACAGACAAGCATCCCAAGCTCTGAATATCACCTGGGAAGGAATCCCACTGGAGCATTGCAGCACACCCAAATACCTGGGAGTCACTCTGGACCGTGCTCTGACCTACAAGAAGCACTGCCTGAACATCAAGCAAAAAGTGGGTGCTAGAAACAATATCATACGAAAGTTGACTGGCACAACCTGGGGATCACAACCAGACACGGTGAAGACATCTGCCCTTGCGCTATGCTACTCTGCTGCTGAGTACGCATGCCCAGTGTGGAACACATCTCATCACACTAAAACAGTGGATGTGGCTCTTAATGAGAAATGCCACATTACCACAGGGGCCTGAGGCTGTGAGGAATGATGGGAGTTGAAGTCCAAAGCACCTGAAGGCAAGGCCCAAGTAGGCCCAGGCCTGTGTGAATATGACTATACCTCACACCCTCCAAAGAGGCCTATCTAAGACTATCCCGCATCCCACGCCATGCCGCAAGCTCTGCCCTGACTCCCCATTCCTCCTGAACCGCGTTAACCCAAAGCCGAGAGAGAGAGAGAGAGAGAGAGAGAGAGAGATATAGAGAGAGAGACGCACCTCCTCAGCCGCCCACAGGACAAAATGGCGGCGGCGGCAGCAACAACGACCAAGCTTCGCCGTCGCCTGCCAGCCGCGTCACTCCGCTGCGATTGGCCCGCGCTCCTGATTGGCCAGCGCTCAATACCGTCCCGCCAATCGGGAAGCGGCTTGGGAAAGAGGGACGAAGCGGATTGGTTGGAGGAGTAAAAAGAAAAAAAGGCGGGCTCCTCGATTACGTCACCGGTCTGTACCATTTTGTTCGTTCAAGACGGGGGTGTTTAGGAAGACGGTTCCATTTAGGTTGCTGGGAGTGTGAAGCATTCTCTCCTGACGTTTCTTCCACATCTAGGGCAGGCATCCTCACAGGTTGTGAGGTCTGTTGGAAACTAGGCAAGTGGGGGGTTATATATCTGTGGAATGATGTCCAGGGTGGGAGAAAGAACTCTTGTCTGCTTCAGGCAAGTGTGAATGTTGCAATTAGCCACCTTGATTGTCATTGAATGGCCTTGCAGCTTCAAAGCCTGGCTGCTTCCTGCCTGGAGGAATACTATATATGTTTGTGGAATGTCCTGGGTGGGAGAAATCTCTTTTCTGCTTGAAGCAAGAGTAAATTTTGCAATTCGCCATCATGATTAGCATTGAATAGCCTTGCAGCTTCAAAGCCTGGCTAGATGCTGACTGGGGAGATCCTTTGATTGGAGGTGTTAGTTGGCCCTGATTGTTTCCTGTCTGGAATTCCCTTTGTTTGTTTTTTAACTCTTGTGTGTTTGATTATCATTGAATGGCCTTACAGCTTCAAAGCCTGGCTGATTGCTGCCTGGGGAATCGTATATATATCTGTGGAAGGTCCAGGGGGAGAAAGAAAGAATTGTCTGCTTGAGGCAAGTGTGAATATTGCAATTGGCCGCCTTGATTAGCATTGAATGGTCTTGCAGCTTCAAAGCCTGACTGGTTGCTGCCTGGGAGGATCCTTTGATTGGAGGTGTTAGCTGGCCCTGATTGTTTCCTGTCTGGAATTCCCTTTGTTTGTTTTTTTAACTCTTGTGTACTTAATTATCATTAAATGGCCTTGTAGCTTCAAAGCCTGGCAGGTTGCTGCCTGGGAGAATCCTATATGTGTGTGTGGAATGTCCAGGGTGGGATAAATCTCTTTTCTGCTTGAGGCAAGAGTAAATTTTGCAATTGGCCACCTTAATTAGCATTAAATGGCCTTGTAGCTTCAAAGTCTGGCTGATTGCTGCCTGGGGAATCCTATATATATCTGTGGAAGGTCCTGGGGGAGAAAGAAAGTATTGTCTGCTTAAGGCAAGTGTGAATATTGCAATTGGCCACCTTGATTAGCATTGAATAGCCTTACAGATTCAAAGCCTGGCTGGTTGCTGCCTGGGGGAATCCTTTGATTGGATGTATTAGCTGGCCCTGATTGTTTCTTGTCTGGAATTCCCTTGCTTTTTAACTCTTGTGTGCTTGATTATCATTAAATGGCCTTGCAGCTTCAAAGCCTGGCTGGTTGCTGCCTGGAGGAATCCTATATATGTGTGTGGAATGTTCAGGATGGGAGAAAGGACTCTTGTCTGCTTGAGGCAAGTGTGAATGTCACAGTTGGTCACCTTGATTAGCATTGAATAGCTTTGCAGCTTCAAAGCCTGGCTGGTTGCTGCCTGGGGAGATCCTTTGATTGGAGGTGTTAGTTGGCCCTGATTGTTTCCTGTCTGGAATTCTCTTTGTTTGTTTTTTTAACTCTTGTGTGCTTGATTATCATTAAATGGCCTTGCAGCTTCAAAGCCTGGCTGGTTGCTGCCTGGAGGAATCCTATATATGTGTGTGGAATGTCCAGGGTGGGAGAAAGAACTCTTGTCTGCTTGAGGCAAGTGAATGTTGTAGTTGGCCACCTTAATTAGCATCACATAGCCTTGCAGCTTCAAAGCCTGGCTGGTTGCTGCCTGGAGGAATCCTTTGATTGCAGGTATTAGCTGGCCCTGATTGTTTCCTGTCTGGAATTCCCTTGTTTTTTAACTCTTGTGTGCTTGATTATCATTGAATTGCCTTGCAGCTTCAAAGCCTGGCTGGTTGCTGCCTGGGGGGATCCTATATATGTATGTGGAATGTCCAGGGTGGGAGAAATCTCTTTTCTGCTTGAGGCAAAAGTAAATTTTGCAATTGGCCATCATGATTAGCATTGAACGGCCTTGCAGCTTCAAAGCCTGGCTGGTTGCTGCCTGGGAGAATCCTATATATGTGTGTGGAAGGTCCAGGGTGGGAGAACGGACTCTTGTCTGCTTGATGCAAGTGTGAATGTGACAATTGGCCATCTTGATTAGCATTGAATAGCCTTGCAGCTCCAAAGCCTGGCTGATTGCTGCCTGGGGGGATCCTATATATGTGTGTGGAAGGTCCAGGGTGGGAGAAAGGACTCTTGTCTGCTTCAGGCAAGTGTGAATGTTGCAATTGGCCACCTTGATTATCACTGAATAGCCTTGCAGCTTCAAAGCCTGGGTGGTTGCTTCCTGGGTGAATCCTTTGATTGGAGGTATTAGCTGGCCCCGATTGTTTCCTGTCTGGAATTCCCGTTTTTTCTCTCTCTCGTGTTCTTGAGGCAAATGTGAATGTTGCAGTTGGCCATCTTGATTAGCATCAAATAGCCTTGCAGCTTCAAAGCCTGTCTGCTTTCTGCCTGGGGGAATCCTTTGATTTGAGGTGTTAGCTGGCCCTGATTGATTCTTGTCCGGAATTCCCCTGCTTTCTGAGTGTTGCTGTTTATTTACTGTCCTGACTTTAGAGCAAACCATTAAAATGAACAAAATTAGGGTCAGTCAGAAAGCGAGAGTCCAAAAGTGGCAGGCAAAAACCCAGATCCTCAATCAGTGGCTGAAACTGGATGGAGAAACTCCCTCCTGGGCACATAATAATAATTCTTATTGTTGTTATTATTTCCCAGTCGACCCAGTGCTAGCTTCTTCTTCTTCTTCTTCTTCTTCTTCTTCTTATTTCCTATTTTTTATTATCTTACCAAGCAACTGTATTTTGTGAAAACAAGCAAGAAAAGTGGGAAAGAAGACTGGTCTTTTGGACGTTTGGTTGAAAGGGTCTTTGAGTGAAATTAGCAAATGCTAAGCAAGGGGCTTTGAATGAAATTAGCAACGAAAGAAAAATATACCCTTTCTCTGTAGAAAAGGAGCAACACGGAAGAAAATGTTTTAAAAAACAAGAGGCGTCATGTAGAGGTAATACAAAGTTCAAGCTTACATAGGAAGTTGTGTTGCGGTTAAGCGCAAAGGTTGTGGTTAAGCGCAAAGGTTGTGGTTAAGTGCAAAGTCTACAGGTGCAAGAAGGTACTTTCCATCAAAAGGTCAAGAGAGGGGGGCTGGAAAGAGAGTACTTTCCATGACCAAAAAAACCTTGCATTACTTGAGTATAAAGGTCAGCAACACGGAAGAAAATGTTTTAAAAAACAAGAGGTGTCATGTAGAAGTTATACAAAGTTCAAGCTTACATAGGAAGTTGGGTTGTGGTTAAGCGCAAAGGTTGTGGTTAAGCGCAAAGGTTGTGGTTAAGAGCAAAGTCTGCAGGTGCAAGAAGGTACTTTCCATCAAAAGGTCAAGGGAGGGGGGCTGGAAAGAGAGTACTTTCCATGACCAAAAAAACCTTGCATTACTTGAGTATAAAGGTTAGTAACACGGAAGAAAATGTTTTAAAAAACAAGAAGTGTCATGTAGAAGTTATACAAAGTTCAATCTTACATAGGAAGTTGGGTTGTGGTTAAGCGCAAAGGTTGTGGTTAAGCGCAAAGGTTGTGGTTAAGCACAAAGGTTGTGGTTAAGCGCAAAGGTTGTGGTTAAGCGCAAAGTCTGCAGGTACAAGAAGGTACTTTCCATCAAAAGTTCAAGGGAGGGGGGCTGGAAAGAGAGTACTTTCCATGACCAAAAAAACCTTGCATTACTTGAGTATAAAGGTCAGCAAAAACAGAGGAGGGGTGGCAGTCTGTGGAAGCTCATACAAAAGTGCTGTCTGTCCGCCTCATGCTGATCAGCTTGAATAAACGGTGTCTTACCTGAACCTATTTGTAGTTTTCTTTGAAACGGGATCCCGTACCCTAAACACGGGATCCCTTATGTGGTGGCTAGGAAGGAATGAATCAGCCCGGCTCCTTTCTACACAGATTCTCTTTTTTATTATTATTTGTCCAAAAAGAAAGAAAGAGAGAAAATAAAGGTCGGAACAGATGCCACTGCAAACACGTGAAACTGCAACAGTCTCCCAAAAGCACAGAGACACTACCTGGATGTTGTTGGCGGCAGAGGATGCCGGGCCCCTCTTTTCCTCAATTTCCTGCAAGACGAGTGTTTGCCGAGTCCTTTGCGAATGGGAAGACAGGGGCGAGGAAAAGGGTGCTGTGGTCTTCCTATAGTGAGAGAATAGGACAGGCATGGGCCAACTTGGGCCTTCCCAGTTTCGGTGTTTCGGACTCCAACTCCCACCATTCCTAACAGCCTGAGCCCCCTTCCTTTTCCTTTTAAAATAATATATTAATATAATAATGATATGATCGACACACTGGGTAAGTGCCTCTCTTTCCAGCCCCACTCCCTTGACCTTTGGCTTAACCACAACCTTTGCGCTTAACCTCAACCTTTGCACTTAACCACAACCTTTGCGCTTAACCACAACCCAAGTTCCTATGATCGACACACTGGCAGTGCCTAAAGACCTTGGCCTGGATTTAAAAACAATTGGCACTGATAAAAAATTTCCATCTGTCAGCTGCAAAAGGGGGAAAAGGAAAGGGCTTGAAACTGTTAGGAATTGTGGGAGTTGGAGTCCAAAACACCTGCAGGGAGTTCCCAAGTTGGCCCATGCCTGGGCTAGCGAGTTGAAGGGAGGTGAACGGAAGGCACACACAGGTCCAGAACTAGGAAGAGAAATATTTATATATATACACACACACATAGAGGCAAAGGGAATGGACCAGATTCATAGCCTGAAACTGAGTAACCTCGATTCCCGTAACCAACCGAAACGGACACCAATTCCTTCTCCGAATGGCTTTCGGAAGCAGACTTTACCCATTCTGCCACCCCGAAACCCCCCAAAACGGACCCCGATTTCTGTTCTGAGGAGTCACTCCCGAAACACTGGTGATTCACGGCTCTAGGAAATGGAGATTGGCTATCTTAAGTCATTACTCAAATGGGAAATGGAGCCTCCACTTTCAAGGGCAGCCTACAGTAAGGTGCTAGGGATTGACATTGTTGGGATCGATAGCTAGAAGATTCCGAAGCTGTCTGCGCAGCCGCAGGAAATACCATATGTGCGATTTCACAGGGACCACAATGGAGAACAGTAGCTTCTCTTCATCGGGCGAGTTCGGGCAATTTGCTGGGGTCTTTCTTAGTTATAGTAAAGGTTTCCATTTGACGTTAAGCCTAGTTGTGTCCGACTCTTGGGACTTGGTGCTCATCTCCATTTCTAAGCCAAAGAGCTGGCGTTGTTCATAGACACCTCCAAGGTCATGCGGCCGGCATGACTACCTTGAGCGGCATTACCTTCCTGCAGAAGCGGTACCTATTGATCTACTCACATTTGCATGTTTTCGAACTGCTAGGTTGGCAGAAGCTGGGGCTAACAGCGGGAGCTCACCCCGCTCGCCGGATTCAAATCGCCAACCTTTCAGTCGGCAAGTTCAGCAGCTCAGCAGTTTGGGCAATTTGCTGGGATCTTTCTTAGTTATATTAAAGGTCAAGGTTTCCCCTTGATGTTAAGTCTAGTCATGTCCGACTCTTGAGGGCTGGTGCTCATCTCCATTTCTAAGCTGAAGAGCCGGCGTTCTCCGTAGACACCTCCAAGGTCATGTGACCGGCATAACTGCATGGAGTGCAGAAGCGGTACCTATTGATGGAGCCCCCAGTGGCACAGTGGGTTAAACCCCTGTGCCGGCAGGACTGAAGACCAACAGGTCGCAGGTTCGAATCCGGGGAGAGGCGGATGAGCTCCCTCTATCAGCTCCAGCTCCACATGCGGGGACATGAGAGAAGCCTCCCACGAGGATGATAAATACATCAAAACATCCAGGCGTCCCCTGGGCAACGTCCTTGCAGACGGCCAATTCTCTCACACCAGAAGCGAATTGCAGTTTCTCAAGTAGCTCCTGACACGACCAAAAAAAAAAACACAAAACCTATTGATGTTCTCACATTTGCATGTTTTCGAACTGTTAGATTGGCAGAAGCTGGGGCTAACAGCGGGAGCTCACCCTGCTCGCCGGATTCAAATCACCGACCTTTTGGTCAGCAGGTTCAGCAGTTTAACCCGCTGCTCCACCAGTTACTCTTAGTTACTCCCCAAAATAAAATACAGTAGTCTCGCTTATCCGACCTTCACTTATCCGACGTTCCGTCTTATCCGACGCTTTTATACAACGCCCTCTTTTCCTCTTCAATGAAAGGAGCGCTCCTCAACTCTCTCTCCAGTGAAAAAGGCAAGACAAGGAGGAAGAGGGGGAAGGAGGAAAGGGGGAAAAGAGGCAGGACCGGAAGCGGAAGCGACCTCCCTCCTTCCCTCTGTGATTTCTACGCTCCTCTTCGGCATCCAGGCACTTCCTGCCGGGCCCATCTAGCCCTGAGGCTTTGCCTTGCCTTAACTCTTTAACTCTCCATTGTTAGTATTCTAGGTGTCTAGCGCCGCATCAGATGGGTAACATTAGAAGACTCCGTATTATCCGACATTTTCGTTTATCCGACATTCTGCTGGCCTGTTTATGTCCGATAAGCGAGACTCTAGGTTTCAAGAGAGAAGACGTTTCCAGTGAAACCAGTAGCAGGGACTCATCAAACTGGAATGTATATGATAGACCTCATTTAGTAGAAGGGGATCTTCAAAGCATAAATCATGACTATCAATATCAAGAGCATGGACTTAAGTTGTCTCGTTCTTGTTTCTATCTGATTTCCCACAATTCCTCCAAACGCCTGGCAGAGCATTATGGGAAACGTATTGTCAAAGGCTTTCATGGTCGGAATTACTGGGTTGTTGTAGGTTTTTCGGGTTGTACGGCCATGTTTTAGAAGCATTCTCTCCTGATGTTTTGCCTGCATCCTGAGGATGCTTGCCACAGATGCAGGCGAAACGTCAGGAGAGAATGCTACTAGAACATGGCCATAAAACCCGAAAAACCTACAACAACCCATTATGGGAAAGTTAAACCAAGGGGCAGATCTTGACATTCCTCCCGAAAATGACAGTATCAAGCACGAAGGAAAATGCTACATCTTATCTTTCTCCCAATGCTTTGTAATCACTCGGTTTCTCCCATTCGGACCCCAATTGAATACTTATGCAACATGATGGACCCTATTAATGCTTCGTTTATTAGGGAGAGGAGGAAAAAAACGCTTATAGAATCACGAAATCCTAGAGTTGGAAGAGACCTCGTGGGTCATCCAGTCCAACCCCTTTCTGCCAAGAGGCAGGAAAACCGCATTCAAGCTTGACCACCTTTGGAAAAGGGGAAGGAGTGGCTTCGTAAAATCCTGAATTTCTGACTTGTTTGGCTCGGCGAGTCAGAAAAAAAATTGAAGGAAAATACAATTTCCCCAAAAATAAGACATCCCCTGAAAATAAGACCTAGTAAAGGTTTTGCTGAATTGCCTCCCCCGAAAGTAAGACCTAGCAAAGTTTTTGTTTGGAATCATGCTCCCCCTGGTGGCCGGAAGGTGCAATACCGTCCCTGCTGTACAAGTGGTCCAGGAACTGGGTTGCTGTAAGTTTTCTGGGCTGTATGGCCATATTCCAGAAGCATTCTCTCCTGACGTTTCGCCTGCATCTATGGCAGGCATCCTCAGAGGGTTGCTGTAAATATTTTGGGCTGTATGGCCATATTCCAATAGCATTCTCTCCTGACGTTTCGCCTGCATCTATGGCAGGCATCCTCAGACGGTTGTTGTAATTTTTTGGGCTGTATGGCCATGTTCCAGAAGCATTCTCTCCTGACGTTTCGCCTGCATCTATGGGCAGGCATCCTCAGAGGTTGTGAGGTCCGGGACCTGCTGTGGGACATTGTTCCAGTCTCCAGACAATGTGTGGGAGTTAGGTACTTTACAGCCCTTATTTTTGGTGGCCCTGTCTGTGAATATTATTTATTATATACTGACAACTACTGTACGGTATATAATAAATAGTCATATTTTCTTTGTTCAATAATAAATGTGAATTCTTCTTCATTAAAAATTAGACATCCCCTGAAAATAAGACCTAACACATCTCTGGGAGCAAAAATTTATATAAGACACTGTCTTATTTTCAGGGAAACAGGACTTGAAAGTACAGTGTTCCCTTGCTACTTCGCGGTTTGCTTTTCACGGACTCGCTGTTTCGCGGGTTCTTGCCTCGCAGTTTATGAATGGTTGCCGTTGCCCAGAGCGGCATTCTAGTCTTGGAAAACATAAGTTATCGCCTGAAAATAAGACCTAGCGCATCTTCGGGAGCAAAAATTAATATAAGATGCTGTCTTATTTTCAGGGGAACAGCACTTGAAAGTACAGTGTTCCCTTGCTACTGCGCGGTTCGCTTTTCGCAGACTCGCTGTTTCGCGGGTTCTTGCCTCCCAGTTTATGAATAGTTGCCGTTTCCCAGAGCGGCATTCTAATCTCGGAAAAATAAGACATCCCCTGAAAATAAGACCTAACGCATCTCTGGGAGCAAAAATTTATATAAGACACTGTCTTATTTTCAGGGAAACGGGACTTGAAAGTACAGTGCTCCCTTGCTACTTCGCGGTTCGCTTTTTACGAACTCGCTGTTTCGCGGGAGCAAAAATTAATATAAGACACTGTCTTATTTTCAGGGAAACAGGACTTGAAGGTACAGTGTTCCCTTGCTACTTCACAGTTTGCTTTTCGCGGATTCGCTGTTTCTTGCCTCCCAGCTTATGAAAGGTTGCCGTTGCCCAGAGCAGCATTTTAATCTCGGAAAAATAAGACATCCCCTGAAAATAAGACCTAGCGCATGTTTGGGAGCAAAAATTAATATAAGACACTGCCTTATTTTCAGGGAAATAGGACTTGAAAGTAGTGTTCTCTTGCTACTTCGTGGTTAGCTTTTCACATACTCGCTGTTTTGTGAGAGCAAAAATTTATATAAGACACTGTCTTATTTTCAGGGAAACAGGACTTGAAAGTACAGTGTTCCCTTGCTACTTCGCGGCTCACTTTTCGTGGATTCGCTTTTTCGCAGGTTCTTGCCTCGCAGTTTATAAATGGTTGCCATTGCCCAGAGCGGCATTCTAATCCCGGAAAAATAAGACATCCCCTGAAAATAAGACCTAGCGCATCTTTGGAAGAAAAACTTATATAAGACACTGTCTTATTTTCAGGGAAACAGGACTTGAAAGTACAGTGTTCCCTTGCTACTTCGTGGTTAGCTTTTCACAAACTCGCTGTTTTGCGGGAGCAAAAATTAATATAAGATACTGTCTTATTTTCAGGGAAACAGGACTTAAAGGTACAGTGTTCCGTCGGTACTTCGCAGTTTGCTTTTCGCGAACTCACTGTTTCACGGGTTCTTGCCTCCCAGTTTATGAATGGTTGCTGTTGCCCAGAGCGGCATTCTAATCTCGGAAAAATAAGACATCCCCTGAAAATAAGACCTAGCGCATCTTTGAGAGCAAAAATTGATATGTCTTATTTTCAGGGAAACAGGCCTTGAAAGTACAGTGTTCCCTTGCTAACTTTGTGGTTAGCTTTTCACAAACTCGCTGTTTCACGGGAGCAAAAATTAATATAAGACACTGTCTTATTTTCAGGGAAACAGGACTTGAAGGTACAGTGTTCCCTCGGTACTTCTCGGTTCGCTTTTCGCGGATTCGCTGTTTTGCGGGTTTATGAATGGTGCCATTAAATCTCTCCTCACTTCTGCCTCACCTTTGGAACTCGATATACATCTATAGCATCCCTACTTTGCGGATTTTCACTTTTCGCAGGTAGTCCTGGAACGTACTTTTTGCGGGTGATCCTGGAACATAACACCCGTGATAAGTGAGGGAACACTGTAATATCAACTTTTTCCTCCCCGCTAATTCGAACACTCCCAACCGTTTGGGCCTTTGCCCTCAAGGTGACCACTACGGATTCAACGGGATCTCGTTCCTTGTTTACAATGGTGCAAATCTCAAGTTGGGTAATGAAGCCGACCATTTAGAAGCGGGAGGAAAAAGAAACTGGAAGGGGAGAGTCTGGTGGGGCGATAATTTAAACGGAAGTCTGGTTTTTTTTAGAGTACCTTTTCTGCCTTGTGATCATAATACAGAACGGCGGCCTCCCCTTTTGCTATTGTCGCCCCCCGATAGCCGGAACGCGTCCCCGAATGTCCACTTTTTTGGGCACGTTTCCCACCCCGTTCTCTCACAGGTTTGGACAGAGGCAGTCGTGGTGGTTTGTGTTTCTTTTTTGATTTTCTTTTAAAGAGTGGAGGGGAGGAAGAAGACAGGAGGGCAAAGAGGACGGGCATTCCTTGCAAAGTCTCGGAGGGGCTTCGTCATGCAAAATCGGCGGGGTCACCAAAAGGAAGAAGGGTGGAGAGGAGGATGTGGCCGCCCTCTGTCCGTCCGTCCATGTGTCGTGTCGTCGTGTCCCGCTGGGAAGTCCGCTTTGGGTTTTGCGCCGCAGCTCTTCCACCGACCCTTCCCCACCCACCCATCCCACACACCCGCTCCCCGCTATTTGTTCTTCTTGAAAAAGCTGAAGCGTTTCTCGCGGTCCTTCTCCTTGGTCTCTTTGTTCCGCAGGGTGACGGTCCCTTCGGGGCCGCTGTTGGAGGTGACCGGGGGCATGCTCGAGGCCCGGCTCATGCCTTTGCTGATCACCGGATCCTCGGCTTGGCCCTGGTTTTGCGGGGTGGCGGCGGCGGCGGTGGCGTTGATGACCCGCATCCAGCTACTCATCTCGGCCTGGAACGGTGGAGGAAAAGAAAGCAGAGCATTAGCCAACGGTGTCTCTGAGGGCGTGCAGAGTGCTCCCCTTGATGGTGGACTTTTGTGCCACTGGGATAGAAGTTGAGAGGAAGGTGGAAAAACGGGATTTGCTGAACTCACCTCATCCTTGGCCTGAAATAGGTATTCTTTGCCATCTGTTAACCTGCCACAAGGAAAAAGAAGAAGAATCAACCCTGATGTCTACTTCGATATGAAAGATTGTTAAGGAAGCGATCTGGAAACACTTAGAAACAAATGCAGTCATCGCTAATAGTCAACATGGATTTATCAAAAACAAGTCATGCCAGACTCATCTGATCTCTTTCTTCAATAGAATTACAAGCTGGGTAGATGCGGGGAATGCCGTGGATGGAGCGTGGATGGATTTCAGGAAGGCCTTCTTTGACAAGGTCCCCCATGACCTTCTGGCAAGGAAACTAGTCCAATGTGGGCTAGGCAAAACTACGGTGAGGTGGATCTGTAATTGGTTAAGTGGACGAACACAGAGAGTGCTCACTAATGCTTCCTCTTCTTGGAAAGAAGTGACAAGTGGAGTGCCGCAGGGTTCTGTCCTGGGCCCGGTCCTGTTCAACATCTTTATTAATGATTTAGATGAAGGATTAGAATAGCTTTAACATATTCAGTATTTAAACATTCTTATACTTATCACTTTCCATTAACAATTGTACAGAACATGTATGTCTTGATACCTATAATATTTCATTCTCCTGCTTCATTACATCCAATCACCCAGTGCTAACCCTTCACCCCCGACCAGCCAATTACAATACTTATTTCCAAAAATCAGTTGTTTCTATTACAGGTTTGGTCCCCTTACCTTCTATATATACATATTCTATCAATTTTCCCCAAATCTTCCCAAAATCATCTTTTTTTGATAATCCTCTTTTAACCTTAATGTTTCCTGTCAGTTTATCGTTTATTGCGATGTCCCAAATCTCCCTATACCACTCTTCCAATTGGCACTCCCCTCCTTCTTTCCATTTTTTAGCTATTAATAATCTTGCTGCTGTTACCAGATTGGCAATTAATTCTTTTAGTTCTTTTGGTATTTTAACATTGTCAATAAATGACAGCAGTGCTATCTCCGGTGTTCCTGTTATCTCTATTTGGGTGATTCTTCTTATTTCTTGAAATACATTTTCCCAAAAAATTTGAACATATTTGCAAGACCACCACATGTGTATAGATGTGCCAGTTTCTTGACAGCCCCTCCAGCACTGCTTAGAATGTTTCTTGTCAATTTGATTTAATCTGATTGGTGTGAGGTACCATCTCCACACCACTTTGTAATAGTTCTCTTTTATTCTTATTGACATATTTTTAATATACGCATATTCCACATTCCTTTCCAGTTTTGTGGGTGTATTACTTTATTACAATCCAACTCCCACATTCTTTTAAGGTGGTCCTCCTCCTGGACTTCTTCCAACAGCATTTTGTAGATATCACTTGTTATACCTTTTGTTCTTTCTTTTCCTTCCTTACTCCCCCTTTGGCTAATCATTTCTTCAAATTTGGTAAATTCCCTCTCTCCTTTATATTTCTTTCTTATTTCCCTTAACCATCTTTCAAGTTGTAGAACTTTATACCATCCAATGTTCCCTCCTGATAACTGGACCTTTATCTCATCTATATTTTTCATCTTTGATTCCCAATCTTTTAATTTCGTTATTCCTTTTTCCTTGAATTCACTTTCCAACTCCTTTTTGAGATTTATGGGGAAAGAAATTGATGGTGAGGATTTCCCTTCATATAATGGAGTCCAGAACTGGCATCGTCCATTCCAATGTGGTCAGACTTTGGTGGAAACAGCTCCAATTCCAGGGTGACCCCACTCTGTTATTGAGGAACACACCGTCCAGCAAGTGGAGGTCACCATTTTGGAAAATCACTACGTAACCCTTTGCCACCTAGCCCAAAATATCAAGTTGAATGTGGGGTCCATGGAAAAAATCCTTCAAGACCATATTCCCATGCATAAGGTGTCCACTCACGGGGTCCCCCAACTGCTCACACTTTTCCAGAAGCAAGAACGAATTGAATGCCCTCAGGCTCTCTTGACATCTTTATTAATGACTTAGATGAAGGGCTAGAAGGCAGATCATCAAGTTTGCAGACGACACCAAATTGGGAGGGATAGCCAATACTCCAGAAGACAGGAGCAGAATTCAAAACGATCTTGACAGATTAGAGAGATGGGCCAAAACTAACAAAATGAAGTTCAACAGTGACAAATGCAAGATACTCCACTTTGGCAGGAAAAACGAAATGCAAAGATACAGAATGGGGGACAATGCCTGGCTAGAGAGCAGTACGTGTGAAAAAGATCTTGGAGTCCTCGTGGACAACAAGTTAAACATGAGCCAACAATGTGATGTGGTGGCAAAAAAAGCCAATGGGATTTTGGCCTGCATCTATAGGAGCAGTGTTTAGATCTAGGGAAGTCATGCTACCCCTCTATTCTGCTATGGTTAGACCACATCTGGAATATTGTGTCCAATTCTGGGCACCACAATTCAAGAGAGATATTGACAAGCTGGAATGTGTCCAGAGGAGGGCGACTAAAATGATCAAGGGTCTGGAGAACAAGCCCTATGAGGAGCGGCTTAAGGAGCTGGGCATGTTTAGCCTGAAGAAGAGAAGGCTGAGAGGAGATATGATAGCCATGTATAAATATGTGAGAGAAAGCCACAGGGAGGAGGGAGCAAGCTTGTTTTCTGCTTCCCTGGAGACTAGGACGCGGAACAATGGCTTCAAACTACAAGAGAGGAGATTCCATCTGAACATGAGGAAGAACTTCCTGACTGTGAGAGCCGTTCAGCAGTGGAACTCTCTGCCCTGGAGTGTGGTGGAGGCTCCTTCTTTGGAAGCTTTTAAACAGAGGCTGGATGGCCATCTGTCAGGGGTGATTTGAATGCAATATTCCTGCTTCTTGGCAGGGGGTTGGACTGGATGGCCCATGAGGTCTCTTCCAACTCTATGATTCTATGATTCTATAAAGGGTCTTTGAGCGGAATTTGCAAATACTAAGTAAGGGGTTTTGAATGAAATTAACAGCAAAAGAGAGATATACCCTTTCTCTGTAGAGCACCACAGAAGAAACAAGATGTGACATTTAGAAGGTACTTCTTAAACAGGATGTTTGTGGTTAACTTCAAATGTTGTTTTTGAAGCGCAGAGGCCACGTGTACAGGAGGGTACTTTCCATCAAAAGGTCAAGAGAGAGGGCTGGAAAGAGAGTTCTTTTCCATGACAAAAATGTTCTTGTTTACTTGAGGTTATATATTTGGTGGTCAAAAGCCAAGACAAGATGTGACATTTACAAGGTACTTCTTAAACAGGATGTTTGTGGTTAACTTCAAATGTTGTTTTTGAAGCGCAGAGGCCACGTGTACAGGAGGGTACTTTCCATCGAAAAAGGTCAGAATTATTATTCATAAAAGGTGTTTTCCCTGAGCTTTCTGTTTGTAATGAGCTATAAAAGTTTGCAGATTTCAAGGGGGGAACACGGCAGCCACTTGAAGGATAGCATCTGCGTAATGCTATCAGGCTGTTCGTCTTTCTTCATGAAGAAACTAAAATAAAACCTTGTTTTTTTGATCTTTCATTGGGACTGTCTCCATCCTTCCGTGCTCCCGTGACGTGGACCTAAAAAGACCCACTCTAGGGTCTCTAACACTAATAATAATAATAATAATAATAATAATAATACAACAGCCAGCAGAGTGATCTTGTTTGCTGTGGACTCATCTTGTTGTGTTTCAAATAATAATAATAATAATAATAATAATAATAATAATAATAATAATGCCAGTAAAGGTGGTCCCAGTGGTGATCGGCACACTGGGTGCAATGCCTAAGGACCTTGGCCTGGACTTAAAAACAATCGGTGCTAACAAAATCACTATCTGTCAGCAAAGACTCTGGCACAAGCCAATAAAGGCGGTCCCAGTGGTGATTGGTACACTGGGTGCAGTGCCTCAAGACCTTGGCCTGGACTTAAAAACAATTGGTGCTAACAAAATCACCATCTGTCAGCTGCAAAAGGCCACCCTACTGGGATCTGCATGCGTTATTTACCAATACATCACACAGTCCTAGACACTTGGGAAGTGTCCGACGTGTGATCCAATACAACAGCCAGCAAAGTGATCTTGTTTGCTGTGGACTTATCTTGTTGTGTTTCAAATAACAACAACAACAACAACAACAACAAGATCCAATACAACAGCCAGCAGAGTGATCTTGTCTGCTGTAGACTCATCTTGCTGTGTTTCAAATAATAATAGTAATAATAATAATAATATAATAATAATAATAATAAACAATAACAAGATCCAATTCAACAGCCAGCAGAGTGATCTTGTCTGCTGTGAACTCATCTTGTTATGTTTCAAATAATAATAATAATAATAATAATAATAATAATAATAATAATAAACAATAACAATAACAAGATCCAATACAACAGGCAGCAGAGTGATCTTGTCTGCTGTGAACTCATCTTGCTGTGTTTCTAATAATAATAATAATAATAATAATAATAATAATAATAATAATAATAATAATTTGTTTCAAGACCGCCCTTTCTCCCTGAAGGGACTCAGGGTAGTTTACACAGAAAATTGCAAGCATTCAATGCCTCAGTTAAGTGCAAAAACATCAGGGAAACCCTCAGACTATTCTAAACTAACTGCTCCTCATTGAGGACTTGAGATTTGGGCAGTGTGGGGTAGGGCTGTCCAAACACGGAAAAATTTGTTTCTAAACTCTATTCGTTTCTTGGGGTTTTTTGCGTTTTGTTATTTATAAGAATTCCGAAATTTTCCTTTAAAAAAGTTCGATATTTACGAAATTTCAGAAATCATAAAACAATTACGAAACAATTACGAATCGATTACGAATCGATTCGTTAATGGCGGCCGCGATCGCGCAATACGCTAAAAAAACTTCTGAAGCTTCCCTCTCCCTCTGTTGTTGACTGTTGGTGTGATAATTATATATTTTTTCACTGAGAAAACAAACAGCAACCCTAAAACTTGCACCAGACATGCGGAAATAATAACGAAACATTTACGAATCAATAACGAATCAATAACGAACCAATTCCGAAACAATTACGAAACGAATTGGAAAAATTCGTTTCGTTTTTTAGTTGCTCCTGAATGGTTCAATATCGCTTCGTTATAAAAAAAATAACGAATTTTTAACGAATTACGAAATTACGAAACGAAACCGCCCAGCCCTAGTGTGGGGTTGAATTCCAACATGCACTTTTAGCTTGTAAATCTCTTCCTGCCTCCCTGTTTACTATTCCAAACATTTAGTCCTATGCATGAGTTTAGTCCAATGTCTTATGATGGGTGCTGGAAATTTCACTATGCATTTTCCAAGTTTCCTGGCTAATAGTCAAGATTCCCAAAGCTCCTGTCCTTATGGTTCCCAGTTATAAAGAGGCATAAACCCCTGCCTGGTATGAGAACCACTGACTCGTCTCCCCTTGTTCAGTTGTGTTTTGGGATTCACACTGGAAACCCAAGCCCCCAAAGTTGCCTGGCAGCCTACCCGAGCTTGAAGACATGCTTGCGCTTCTTGTAGTCCAAGGCTACGCTGCACTGCGCCCCTTGCAAGCCGACGGGAGCTTCGCCGTGGTACGGGATGCCGTTGGTGGCGTTCTTGCTGTCTTTGAAAAAGGCCAAGTTACCCTTCCGTACAATGCAGTAGATGTTCTGCCAGGACCTGGTGAGCAGGGAAAGTGTGAGAATGTTCAGAAATATTAAAAATTATTATTATTATTATTATTATTTATTAATAAATAAATAAATAAATAAAACTTTATTTATACCCCGCCACCACCTCCCCAAGGGACTCGGAGCAGCTTGTATGAGGCCAAACCCAACAGTACATCAATAAACAAAAGCAATAAACAAAAACAATAAATACAATACAGTTAATATAAATCAACAACAATCTATAGAAATAAAAATGTAATGTTCGTTTGTGGGATTAACATAACGCAAAAAACCACTGGATGAATTGACACCAAATTTGGACACAAGACACCTAACAACCCAATGTATGTCCTTCACTCAAAAAAATTGATTTTGTCATTTGGGAGTTGTAGTTGCTGGGATTTATAGTTCACCTACAATCAAAGTGCATTCTGAACCCCACCAACGATGGAATTGAACCAAACTTGGCACACAGTTCTCCCATGACCAACAGAAAATACTGGAAGGGTTTGGTGGGGAGTGTCCTTTGGTTTTGGAGTTGTAGTTCACCTACATCCAGAGATCACTGTGGACTCAAACAATGATGGATCTGGACCAAACTCTACAGAATACTCAATATGCCCAAATGTGAACACTGGTGGAGTTTGGGGAAATAGAATCTTGACATTTGGGAGTTGTAGTTGCTGGGATTTATAGTTCACCTACAATCAAAGAGCATTCTGAACCCAACCAACGATGGAATTGAACCAAACTTGGCACACAGTTCTCCCATGACCAACAGAAAATACTGGAAGGGTTTGGTGGAGTGTCCTTTGGTTTTGGAGTTGTAGTTCGCCTACATCCAGAGATCACTGCGGACTCAAACAATGATGAATCTGGACCAAACTCTACAAGAATACTCAATATGCCCAAATGTGAACACTGCTGGAGTTTGGGGAAAATAGAATCTTGACATTTGGGAGTTGTAGTTTCTGGGATTTATAGTTCACCTACAATCACAGAGCATTCTGAACCCCACCAATGATAGAATTGGGCCAAACCTCCCACACAGAACCCCCATGTGGGCCACAGCAACGCGTGGCAGGGGACGGCTAGTCTATATAAATAAAAATGTAATGTTCATTTGTGGGATTAACATAACTAAAAAACCACTGTATGAATTGACACCAAATTTGGACACAAGACACCTATCAGGCCAACGAGTGACCATCACTCATAAAAACACTGAAAAACACAACAGAAGAGACTTTAAAAGCCAAAAAACAAAACAAAAAAACCCATTACAACGCATGCGCAAAAGCACATATATACACAAACACACATACACAAATATATACACACACATATATGCATATATATACACACAAAACACATATACACAGAAAGTGGGAAGGAAGCAAGAAAGGAAGGAGAGATGGAGGGATAGAAAGAGGAAAGGAAGGAGAGAAGGAAAGAAAGGTAGTGAAGGAAGGAGAGAAGGAAATAAAAAGTGAAAGAAGGAAAGAGAGGGAAGGAAGGAGAGAAGGAAATAAAAAAGGGGAAGAAGGAAGGAGAAAGAAGAGGAAGGAAGGAAGGAAGGAAGGAAGGAAGGAAGGAAGGAGAGAAGGAAAAAAAAAAGGGGAAGAAGGAAAGAAGGGAGGAAGGAGAGAAGGAAAAAAAGTGAAGAGGAAGGAAAGAGGAGGAAGGAGGGAAGAGAGAAAGAAAGAAAGAAAAAGGAAAAAAGGAAGGAAGGAGAGAAGGAAATAAAAAAGTGAAAGAAAGGAGAGAGGGAAGGAAGGAGAGAAGGAAATAAAAAAGTGAAATGAGAAAGAGAGAGGGAAGGAAGGAGAGAAGGAAATAAAAAAGTGAATGAAGGAAGGAAAGAGAGAGGGAAGAAGGAGAGAAGGAACAAAAGAAAGAAAGAAAGAAAGAAAGAAAGAAAGAAAGAAAGAAAGAAAGAAAGAAAGAAAGAAAGAAAGAAGGGGAAGAAGGAAGGAAGGAACCAAAGAGCAAAGGAAGGGAGGAAAGAAACGGGTAGAAAAGGAAGAAAGAAAAAGGGAAAGCAGAAGGAAAAGAAAAAGAGGGAAGGAAGGAAAGAGGGAGGGAAGGAAGAAGGGAAAGAAAGGAAAGAAAGAGGGAGGGAAGGTTTGGCCACACAGCAGAAGAGACTTAAAAAGCCAAAAAAAATACGTTACAACGCATGCGCATAACCACATAAATACACATATACACAAATATATAAGTACACACATATATACACGCACAAAACACATATACACAGACTGGGCCACACCAACGCATTGCACAAGTGTGTGTGTGTACAAGTGTGTGTGTGTACGTATACACACGTGAGGGCATCACCTGTTAGCTGCCTTTTTGCCGTGGGACTCCATCTCCTGCTTCCGGCAGAGCACACCTTCCATCTGCTCGATGGCCGAAGGGTCCGGTGTCCGCGGGGGTAGAGTGGCCGACTGGGTGGGATCGGGCGCCTTGGAGCGGGGCTTTGGCGAGGGGGCCGGGCTGGGCTCCTTGGACACCGAATCCAGCCGCGACCCATTCACTGTGGCGGACGACTCCGAAATCTGCAAAAAGCATGGCAGAGTGAGGAGGACCACAGCCCGACTTCGATACACAAGGACCCAGAGCTTATTTCCATGAGAATTAGAGCAATTAAAATGTGCACACTCCGTAAATTACTGTATTTGTTTCAAACTCGACCACAACAAAAATTCAAAAAATGGGATGCCGTAAATAAATAAATAAATATTGGGCATCAAATCGTTGCCTCTGTAAACTGCCCTGAGTCGCCTGAGGACTGAGAAGGGCGGTATACAAATACGGCAAATAAACAAATAAACAAATAAATAAATACCGTATATACTCGAGTATAAGCCTACCCAAATATAAACCAAGGCACCTAATTTTACCACAATAACTGGGAAAAGTTATTGACTCGAGTATAAGCCTAGGGTGGGAAATACAGCTACTGGTTAGTTTCAAAATAAAAACAGATACCAATAAAATTACATTAATTGAGGCATCAGAAGGTTAAATGTTTTTGAATATTTACATAACATTGTAATTTAAGATAAGACTGTCCAACTCTGATTCTAACCTTCAACGTAAATGTGCTTCTGTATCCTTCCAATAAGAATAAAGAGAGTAACATAATGTAATAATAATAATAATAATAATAATAATAATAATAGAGTAAAATAATGGAAATGTAATAACAGTAATAATAGAATAAAATTAGAATGAAATAATAGAATAAAAGGGTCCAAAGGAGCTCTCGCTTAGCTGGTAAGCGAGAAGCCAAATCGGCCAAGGGTCATCGCAATGTGTTCATGATTGCAAAGGGTATTTAGTAGGCTTGGGTAACCACGGAAAAATTTGGTTCTAAACTCGTTTCGTTTTTTTAAAGAATTCCGAAATTTTCCTTTAAAAAAGTTCGAAATATACGAAATTTAATAAAATTACAAATCGATTCGTTAATGGAGGACACGATTGCGCAATATGCTAAAAAACCCTCCAAATGGGACAGGGGGAACTTCTGAAGCTTCCCTCTCCCTCTGTTGTTGACTGTTGGTGTGATAATTTATTTTTTATCACTGATAAAACAAACAACAACTATAAAACTTGCACCACACATACGGAAATAGTTACGAAACAATTACGAAACAATTTCGAAACAATTACGAAACAATACGAAATAAATTGGAAAAATTGTTTCGATTTTTAATTACTCCTCACAGTAGTCCTGCATGGCTCAATATTGGATCGTAAGCTAATTTAAATACGAATTAATAACGAATTACGAAATTAACGAACGAAACCGCCCAAGCCTCGTATTTAGCTTTCTGGCTGACAAACAGGAGTGGTCAGTTCAACATGGCTCTTTCCATGCAAAGTTCTATGGCTTAACCTTGGCTTTAAGCAGCACGCTTTTGGCTTCCTGAATCTGGGATTTTGGGTCTTGTGTTTCACTGTTTTACAATGGACTCTTGCTTGACCATTGCCTAAAGGATTATGCTTCATGTTTTTTCCTTTGGATCTTGGGAACCATGTTTGTTTTGGCTGAGCTAGTTTCCGATGATGAGGATGATGGGATTCAGATTCCTGTTGGGTTTCAGCTTTCTGGCTCTTTGTGTATGCCTCAAATCTCTGAGCCTGCTTCCGAGGCTCTCACAGACAGTGCAGTGTCAACACAGCTGTTTTCACCAGAAAGGAATTTTAACGAAGGAAATAGCGAGCAGGTGCCTTCCCACGATGATACCGAAAGTGTAGATAAGGATTTGACCCGAGAAGCTCGCCTTGATCCAGGTCAGGCGCAGTTCATGTCTGGCAAGCAGACGGGAGGCTAGCTCGGTGCAAGGTTGTCGCAATGCTTTTATGATGCTGAGAGCCTAATGTTTTGATGTTGGGAAGGTATTTAGGCCTCCTGGAAACTCTTTGAAAGCGTCAGTTCAACGTAGCTTATTAGCCTGAAAGCTTCATGGAATAACCTTAGCCTGGAAAGCAGTACGCTTGGGATTCCTTGCATTGTGATTCTTGGGGCAAATGTTTCCTTGCTTGTACCTGGGACTCTGGTTTGAACTTTGCCAATAGGATTATGTCTCCTGCTTTTACCTGAAGATCTTTGGAACTGTATCCTGCATTTAACCTTAATCTTTGGAACTTTGATATGCTTATTTTTTATTTTGACTTGGACTTTTTCCTCAATAAACTGTAAAACTACAGCTCTTGTGTGATGGTGTCTGGAAGCAAGGTGAAGCCTACTCTGAGTTGCAACAAAATCGGGCAAGGGTCATCGCAATGCGTTCATGATTGCAAAGGGTATTTAGCCTTCTGGCTGACAAACGGGAGTGGTCAGTTCAACGTGGCTCTTTCCTTGCAAAGTTCTATGGATTAACCTTGGCTTTAAGCAGCACGCTTGTGGAACTTTTGCATTTCTTATTCTATGTTTTGACTTTGCTTTTTTCTCAATAAACTACCAAATCTACAGCTTTGGTGTGGTGGTGTTTGGAAGCAAGGTGAAACTACCCTGAGTTGCAACAAATGTAATAATAATAATAGAGTAAAATAATGAATGCAATAATAATAATAGAGTAAAATCATATATGTAATAAAAATAACAATAACAGAGTAAAATATTAAATAATGTTGACCCGAGTATAAGCCGAGAGGAACTTTTTCAGTCTATAAAAACGGCTGAAAAACTAGGCTTATACTCGAGTATATACAGTAATAAATTATACCCAATCATCCAGTTCTCCTCCCATTCATCCCTTTCCATGCTTCCCCAATATCTGTGCTCTACCTGGGTAGTTTCAGAGTCAGCATCAATCCCGTTCAGGGACGGCATCTCTACAGATGTTCCTCGTTGTCCAGGACTCCTGAAGAGGAGGGAAAGATGCGAGAGTCACAACTCCTGCATTCGCCCTCTTAAAGCCCTCTACATGGCAATTGAGGTGCCCGCCTCCACGTAATGCCGTTTCTCACCGCTTGTCGGGACCCTGTTGCTGGGGTGTCGTGGCCACAGGTGGTGGCGTTGGAGGCCTCCTTTTCCTCGCCTCTTCCTGCTCTTGACGGCGACGTTCGTTCTCTTCCATCTTGTGGAAAGAAGGAATGAAAATGTATGGAAGAGGATGTATTCTGAGGTAAAATAACTCTGAGATTCTTTTAAATAAACACTGCCACCAATCTTTAACTCTGTTTCCTTAAACTGCTATGGAACTATTTTACATAGAGGCACCCTTGAGACAGTTGTTGTTTAACAAAGAGCAAAGTTGTTTATTTGTGAGAACTTCAACACTACAGGCACTTAAGCTTAACGGTTGCAATAATGAGTTGCAGCATATGGTTACTTTAAAAACAGTTCTATACTTGGTTCCAAAAACAATTCTTCACTCCCACAAGAAAGTAGCAGACTTCCCTCTGACTAGAATTCCTAAAAACTCCAGACAGTCCTTTCCCCCTTTGGATCTGTCCAGTGCTGCAGAATTTGAAGAGGCACGAATAGAGGGCGAAAGAGAGAAACGTGCCAAGAGAAAGGCGCATCAAGCCAAACCCGACCGAGACCGCCTTCCACCTGGAAACCAATGCCCTCACTGCGGGAGAAGATGCAGATCAGGAATAGGGCTCCATAGTCACCTATGGACCCACCCTAGAGGATTATCCTACTCGGACAATGAGAGATCGCCTAAGTAAGTCTTACTACTAGCTATTCTTCCTAATAGCTAATTATATTTACTAATCAGGGGCGGCTCAACCCCTTACGCAAAGTAAGCCTTTGCAGTATAGTTGATTTTGCCCAGGAATGCTCTTGAGGCGCTCTTGGGGGAAAACAGACCTTGACATATGTGAGTTGTAGTTACTGGGATGTATAGTTCACCTACAATCAAAGAGCATTCTGAACTCCACCAATGATGGAATTGAACCAAATATGGCACACAGAACTCCCATGACGAATATATATCAGTGATTGGTTGAGGGGTGGTGGTGCCAAAATACTGTTTGCTTACTGTTGAAAATTACCTAGGGCCGCCTCTGTTACTAACTGATCAACTCTTGCCTTCTCTGACTTCTTTTCTCCTAACACTCCCAAAATCCAACTCTCTTCTTCACCACACAAACCCTATCTCCACTCTTCAAACACCAGACCCTGACTGAACTGTCAGATTTTAAAATGCACCCTTACAAGCATTTTTTTTCTCCCCTCTGGCTAAGCGCTACTCACTTTCTCCCAGCCAATTACAAAGGCTCTCCACATTTCCCTCCAGGCTGCTCCTAAGCTCAGCCCCCTCTAAGAAATTGGTTCTCTAAGATGGCTGCCTCCTTGCATCATCTCCTAAAATGGCTGCTGAAGTTCTTGGGCCTACTTTCTGAGCTTTCCCTGGGCCTAAACGGTAGGCAATTCATCACAGTCGCACACAAGTTATGGGCCAAATAAAGCCCTTGCTACCCCTGCAACTGAAAGGTCTGATGAGCTGTCAGATTTTAAAATGCACCCTCCTTACAGGCAATTTTTTTCTCCCCTCTGGCTAAGCTCCGCTCACTTTCTCCCAGCCAATTACAAAGGCTCTCCATATATCCCTCCAGGCTGCTCCTAAGCTCCACCCCCTCTAGGAAATGGGTTCTCTAAGGTGGCTGCGTCCTTGCAACATCTCATAAAATGGATGCTGAAGTTCTTGGGCCTACTTTCTGAGCTTTCCTGGGCCTAAAAGGTAGGCAATTCATCACAGTAGCAGACGAGTTATGGGCCAAATAAAGCCCTTGCTACCCCTGCAACAGAAAGAGACCTATTATTGAGAGTTTGGTCTCACTTTCTCCCTCTGCCCCAAGAAGGATACACCCCCTGTTCTCCCCCCTTTCGCCGCATCCTATGTCCACACACCGTTGTGAGCTTCTCCAGGGCCAGAAAGCGCTCCTCCCAGGCAGCTGCCGATTTCTGGAAGCCTTCGTGGCGCTTGATGAGGTTCTCCACTTCGTCCACATTGCTGCCCAGCTCGGCAGAGCGCACAATCGGCTCCTGGCTGGATAGCCAAGCCTCGGCCATGCTGGCATCACGTCCAAACATCAGCACCTCCATGACTGCAAAGGGAAAGAGAGGGGAGTTAGTGAGGAAATGAGGCCAGAGCATCCCAACGCAAAGCTCCGGTTCTATACCACTGCACTTGTATGTTTCCAGGCCACAATATTTATTTATTTATTTATTATTATTATTTATTTAAAACTTTTATATCCCGATCTTCTCAACCTCCACGCAGGGATTCAGACTGGCTAACAGCAAGGATTCAATGCCACAATACAGTCTAAAACATCATACAATGGCAATAGATTAAAATACATCTATATATATAATAAAAGTGAATGTTTGTATGTATGTATGCGGCAGGAGGTGTATGTGGCAACTTTCTGATTGGCTGCCACTTTCACTGGCCACTGTGACCAACACAGGTGAAGCACCTGGACCAAACTTGGCACACATAACCCCCATGACCCTCTTTACGTTCTGGTGCGGTTTGGGGGAGGTGGACCACAGATTATGGGATTTGTAGTACTTTCAAATGGATTGGTTTCCAAGGAGTACTGTGGCCCCCAACAAAGTCCAATAAAGACCAAACTTGGCACACCAAGATCTACTATGTGAGTTGTCTTCAGATCTGTAATGCCATACAGACACTACCATTTTCAGCTGCTAGATACTCCCCACTTTCTGCCACTTGCCCCAAAGATCTCCACAGCTCTATTCCCTAATCCCGCACCTCCAGGTATCCTCACTTTCCCTTCTTGCTTTTGCCTTACCTATTTGTAGCCAGTCCATTTTTTCCCGCCACTTGTTGTTGATCTCCTTCCGTCGGTCCTGCAGCTGGGTCAGTTTCTCTGCAATCTGGATGGGAATTAAGAAGCAAAGAGGAACACAGTTCCCGGAGTCATACATTTCTTTTTTCCCAGACAAAGTTGTGAGAAATATTAAATATTAACTAGATATTTTTGATTACAAAAGTGTGATTCAAGCACTGAAAGAGTGAGTAGGTCGAAGCCTGTTAGAGTTAGTGAGCCAAAGCTAGTGTCATCCTGAGGAGTATGAGGTAAACCTCAGTGTGAGAGAAAGCCTGTGTGAGGGAACACCTCAGTGGGAGAATAGGCCTCATAGTTAGTAGGGCTGAGTGTGAGGTTGGCCTTGTTATGAGAAGGCCTTGTGTGTGGAAGGTCTTTTGTTAATAAGCCCACTTGCCCAACAAAGGTTATGGGGCCAGTATAGCCCAGTATAACCCAGTACAGATCAGTACAGACCAGCAGAGACCATACTGAGGTTGAAGAAATATGGTGATGGCATTTCAAGCAAGTGGACTGCCTTTTCAAATGATGAATGCCAGCAATTATGCCACATGGTCATTTAAAATGAAAAAAATCTTGTTAATGTTTTAAATTGGGGGAATTTTGTATTAAAAAATAGAAGGGATGTCAGCAATATTAAATATTAATTAGGTATTTTTGATTACAAAGGTGTGAGTCAAGCATTGAAAGAGTTAGTTAGTTGTTGTTGTTATTATTATTATTAGTAGTAGTAGTAGAAGTAGTAGGTCAAAGCCTGTTAGAGTTAGTGGGCCGAAGCTAGTGTCATCCTGAGGAGTATGAGGTAAACCTCAGTGTGAGAGAAAGTCTGTGTGAGGAAACACCTCAGTGGGAGAATAGGCCTCATAGTTAGTAGGGCTGAGTGTGAGGTTGGCCTTGTTATGAGAAGGCCTTGTGTGTGGAGGGTCTTTTGTTAATAAGCCCACTTGCCCAACAAAGGTTATGGGCCCAGTATAGCCCAGTGCAGACCAGCAGAGACCATATTGAGGTTGAAGAAATATGGCGATGGAAGTTCAAGCAAGTGGACTGCTTTTTCAAATGTTGAATGCCAGCAATTATGCCACATGGTCATTTAAAATTAAAATTTTCTTCTTCTGATTTAAATTGGAGATTTTAAAAATAAAAAATAGAAGGGGTGTCAGAAATATTAAATATTAATTAGGTATTTTTTATTACAAACGTGTGAGTCAAGCTTTAAAGAGTTAGTAGCCTTTTGGAGTTAGTGAGCCAAAGCTAGTTTCGTCCTGAGGAGTATGAGGTAAACCTCAGTGTGAGAAAAAGCCTGTGTGAGGGAACGCCTCAGTGGGAGAATAGGCCTCATAGTTAGTAGGGCTGTGTGTGAGGCTGGCCTCATTATGAGAAGACCTTGTGTGTGGAGGGTCTTTTGTTAATAAGCCCACTTGCCCAACAAAGGTTATGGGCCCACTATAGCCCAGTATAGCCCAGTACAGACCAGCAGAGACTATATTGGGATTGAAGCAATATGGCGATGGCATTTCAAGCAAGTGGACTGCTGTTCCAAAAGTGTGAGTCAAGCACTGAAAGAGTTAGTAGGCCAAGCCTGTTAGAGTTAGTGAGCCAAAGCTAGTGTCATCCTGAGGAGTATGAGGTAAACCTCAGTGTGAGCGAAAGCCTGTGTGAGGGAACACCTCAGTGGGAGAATAGGCCTCATTGTTAGTAGGCCTTAATGTGAGGTAGGCCTTGTTATGGAAGGCCTTGTGAAGGTTGAACATTATTTTTGTTATGGAAACCTTGTTTTTGTAAATATTATTTTGCTATGAAGAAAGGGAAGAGATAATATTGGTCTGTGTGTTTTAGTTCTTTTTATCGCTTTGGGCTACTGGTGCTGGGTTACACTGCTGCTAAGTTACTCTGCTATACATTTATGAGGAGGGTCTTTTGTTGGCCCACACAACAAAAGACCTTGAATCAAGTCCTCCTCTACCAATCCAAAAGACTCACCTTGTCCGAGGCGTAATGCCCCTTGGCTAGCAACTCGTTGCCCATGGCAATGCAGTCGTTGAAGCTGTCAGCCCGCGCCTCGACTTCAGCCTTGATGCCCTGGTGATTCTTAATGACCAAATCAGCAGCCGACACATCCCTAAGAGGTTGGGAAGAGAGATTTCTTTATGTATTCATCTTGCCGTTCTTCTCGTGAGCTCACAGATGTGTACACGGTTCTCCATATTTTTAGCCTTGCAACAATCCTGTGAAGCAGGGCAGGCTGAGAGAAGAGGTGACCGGTTGTTGTCGTTCAGCCAGAGGCTGAAGACCAGGGGATTATTTTATCAGAGCCTGGGAGGGCTGATGGGTCTTGCAAAGAGTGAAATTATGGGATTATGGAGAAATTAGGAAAGTCCCTTTGCTAGAATTTTTTTAAAAAAATATTTTTATAATTTTTTTAAAAAGGACCTTAAAACCTGGCTCTTCCGCTGCGCCTTTGATGAGTGGCCCGTCAACATGAGTGGCCCGTCAACATACAATTCCACATGATTGCTCAGTCTCAAAGTTTTGTCATTGGAGTATACGCCCCCCCCCCCCAGGGGAAAGCTTGGATTCCTGGCTGGTGTGGAGTGCAAGGCGAATTCTGGCTGAGGTACAACACTGGTGTCCAAAATGAGCTGGGGCTTCCGATTGGTTAATCTCCTTCCATCGATCCATCCATCCCCTTACCTGGGCTTCTCCTGAGCGTCTATCTGGAGGTTGACGTCATCCATCCAAAGGAGGAGGTCGCGCACCATGCGGAAGAAGCGGAACTTGTCAACGGTGTCCATGAGAAGGTGCCGGCGGCCGCTGCTGCTGCTGAGCAGGTCAGACCAAGCCTCGCTCACAGACTGCTCATGCCTCCGGATGTCGTCTGCCTTCTCGCCGGCGTAGGCCTTCTGCAGCCGGGCAGCATCATCCTGGACTTGCTTCACCTGTTGAGACAAAGAAGCCATGAGCTGCAGCCGAGTCTGGGTTACACTCACTTTTCAATTCCATTAAAAATATATTTTTCATCTCAAGTGTTTCAGATAAAGTATAATCTGTATGAGGTTAAAGGATATTTAACCTGGAGAGTGTGCCAATTGTTTTCCCCACCTATAAACCCCATAAGCAGGCAGGGCTGGGCTTTAGCACAGCTGGTTAATCACCAGCAGCAACAGGTCTTACCAATCGAAAGGTTGGCAGTTCAAAGCCTAGGTCGGGGTGAGCACCCGACCTTCAGCCCAGCTCACTGCCCAGCTAAGCAGTTCAAAAACAGCTGTGAGCTGTGAGTAGAGAAATTAGGCACCACTTAAGCGGGGAGGTATTTTACGGCACCATAAATACCAGAAAATGCCAATGATCAAAGTAAGGAGGAAGTCTGTGATCAAGGGCTCTTCGACATAGAGGATGGAGTGACAGCACCCCTCTGTGGCCGGAATTGAGCACAACCTCCATGACGCCGAAGTTGGGAAAAATGCGGACATAATACCTCTATCTGTTGCCTGTCCTGTCTGTTTAACGGCATTTAATGTTTGCTGTGTATGTGTTCTGTGATCGACCCTGACAAGGGTGGAATATAAACGCTGCAAATAAATAAATACCTGGGTGCTCAGGGCCTGGATGTCGTGCTCGTAAGCGCTGTGCATCCGCTGCATGGCCTCAGCCGTGTTCAGGTCCCGCCCCACTTCGTCGGGAAGCTGCTTCTGCTTGTTCTGGACCTGGCTGAGGGTCTCCCGGGCATCGTGGTAAAAGCGGTGCAGCTCATAAGAGGCGGCCAGCATCTGGCTCCGGGTGTCAATGAGTTCCAAAAGGTCGGCCCAGGCCTCATTCAGGCTGTCCTTCCACTCAGCGATGGTGGCGTTATCCGAGTGGCCGGCGGAGATCATGTTGTCCGCTAGCTGGTTCACAGTGTCCACCCGCTCCTGACCGATGGTGCTGGTATCCCGCGAGAACTCCCGGAACTTGTCTCGTAGCATCTGCACATCAAAATCACCACCATCATGGAATTGGAAGGGGCTACATTTTTTTTAATTCTAGGAAGCCACACCAACTATCTATATACATAAAAATCAGCATGGCTCCCACATCGAAAGAGTGTTGTAGTTCAGCCTTTGATTGTGCCTGCACCTGTTCTCTGGGGATTATGGGCCTGTTAGTCATTCTGATGACATTGGGGATTCTGGATCTGCAAGTCAGCAGGAGAGCCAGCAAGATATTTTAAGCCTGAAAATGAGTGGTCTATGTCTGAAGGCCACATTCCTGAAAGCTAGTTCGCTAAGGAAGCAAGGCCGCAAACAGATCTGAGATCAGAGGATGACAATAATAATAATAATAATAATAATAATAATAATAATAATCCTTTATTTGTACCCCGCACCCATCTCCCGAACGACTCGGTGCGGCTTACAAGAGGCTGAGCCCAAACACAATAGTAAAAACAACAAATCGAGGTGAACAGTTTAATGAGCAGTTAGATAGGAGATTTAGGTTCCGTCAACATAGGGCTTCTCAGGAGAGAGTACGAAGGGCAAGCCCCACTGCTCCCCCTTTACAAATACACTTTTTCTACTTCCTATGTCACTCAGAGTTTTAACACTTTTAACATTTTATCTTGCACATTTGGCCCGCCCTTTGTGATTGATTTCATTATGTTATTTTGCATTGTCTATTTTATTTTGTTGTATTATGTATTTGTTGTGTTTAATTTTCTATTGTTTTGTATATTATTTTGTTGTATTATTTTGGGGCTTGGCCTCATGTTAGCTGCCCTGAGTCCCCATTGAGGAGATGGGAGATGGTGGCAGAGTATAAATAAATAAGGTTTATTATTATTATTATTATTATTATTATTATTATTATTATTATTATTATTATTAGGTTAAGCCACCTATTAGCGAAAAAGTCCTTATCAGTTTCCCCGAGAAGAAGGCATGATTTTCTCTCTACATTAGTTAGCCCAGCAGATGGGTTTGGAGTATATATCTATTGTCAAGTCAAGGGATTTCTAGTACCATGTTCCATGTTCCCTTTTGTTCATGTCTCATGATTCCAAGTTTTGAGGACTGTTCCTGAATCTCATGTTTCAGATTTATTCTGCTTTTGTATTCCTGGTATTTTGATTTCTGTGAATTATTCCTGATACTTTGGACTTTGTTTTTTTTTTGTAATACTACTTTGCTGAATTGTTTTCCATACATATTCTTCAATAAACTGCTTTGCTATTTTACCTTGGGCTGGAGTGTGTGTTAAGTACAGAGGTTGTCCCCAACCTTGAAGTACGACAGAGAGTCGTGTCACTCCCACTAGCGATGGATGTGGACCAAACTTGGCACACAGCCCCCCCATGACCAACAGAAAATGCTGGTGGAGTTTGGGAGGAATTAACCTTGAATTTAAGGAGTTATAGTTCAACTATATCCAGAGAGAACTATGAACCCAACCGACAATGGATCTGGACCAAATCTGGCACACAGACACTCCACCCCATGACCAACTTTAAGGACTAGCAGGTTTAGGGGGGGAGGGTGACAGAGAATGGAGGGAGTTGTTGTTCACCCACATCCTTATGCATTTTCTAATGGGAACATTTATAAAACCCAAAGCCAAACAATTACTACTTCTTTATAACATACCCAGGAAATGCTGAGTACGTAAGTTAGTACGTTATAAAACAGAAAAGGGTGTGTGTGGCTCAACTTGTTAGCTAGAGCCAATGTAAGATCAATTTTGAAGGAGTCTTTTCCCATCTTCGGAGAGAGAACTCACAGTGACGTGTTCGTAGTCCTGTCCAAGTTCGTGGGAGGCGGCCACCACTTCCCGCTCCGAGATCCATTGCTCCAAGTCGTCCACCTCCCGCTTCAGCTGGCAGAGCCGGAGCTGCTCTTGTAGCTTGGCACGGCGCTCCTCCGCCAGGTCTTTCAGGCTGGCGTAGAGCTTGTCCACTTGGCCTTGACGGAGATTGATCCGCTCACTGCCAGAAAAGAGGGGAAAAAGAAGCAGAGAGTAAGACAAAGGGCTCATCCAGACAGCATCTTTATCCCAGGAGCTTCCGCAACAAACAGGAGGGTGGCCAGGCACCGCTCCCTCAAAATGCAGATCACAAGCAAAAAACTTGTGATCTTTAGGTACAGGAATGTGGGGAGTGATGTTGTAACGAAGCCACCACTTTGTAAAGACACCACCAGAAGCAGTAGTAGGGACGTCACCGATTTATCAGGGCCTCCTACTATTTGTAATGGATTTACTAAATTGATAACACAGCTAATAGCTTGTACTATTTTGTTGGTCTTTCTTCAATGTGTAGCACGGCTTGACTTGAAAGTATTTGCAACAGAGACTTGGCTTTAAAAGAAACTGTAACAAGTTTATTGAAGTATAGAAGAAGCTTGATGGTTTCAATGTTTCTTAACTCTTAGAGGCACATTTCTTCAGTGGTTACACTTATAACATTTCATAAGACAACTCTTGAGAGGACTGTTCCTTCCACTAGACAGGTTTTAAACTTATTTTCCTTTCAAATGTGTTTCTTACTTAACAGATCACTTCAGGTACCAGCTTATTCTTTCCCTATGTTATTTCTGTTGCAGTAACGATGTTTACTGGGTTTCTCTCCCCTTTTTCCTCATACTAATCTAAATAAGTCAACTTGACCTATCTAAACCTCACAGGCTAAAAGCCTAAACCTTCCTGATTCTCAACACAGTAGAACCAGCCATTCCCTGTAGTTCTCTGACTACAGACTGCCTTACTGATTCTCACCACAGTAGAATCAGCCTTCCCTGCAGTTCTCAGACTACAGACTGCTTTACTGGTTCTCAACACTGTAGAACCAGCCTTCCCTGCAGTTCCTAGACTACAGACTGACCGTTTTAAAATGTCTGCCCTGCCAAGTGGCAGTTGCTCCACCCCTTTTTCCATGGCAACCAGGCTCAGAGTGAGCTGAGCTGGCTACTATTCCCCCAGTTATGCTATTTTAAATACTTACCCTTTTTAAACACCTATCTAAAATCATACATGACTAAAGGTTAAAATTCACACTTCACCACAGATGGCAATGGTTTGGTCAATGATACTGATGCAGAGAATGACCAGAATATTCCTGTTCAAAGTTTAGTTTCCCATAAGAATGTCCCTGAAGGGTGTGGGGATGATGGTGTGCTTCCTGAATTGTTACCAGAGAGTTCTCATGATTTTGGGGTTTGAAAATAGCTCGGCACTTGGCCCAGCTGCAGAAATTAATGAGCAAATAGATAGACGGGTGGAGATTAGTCAAAACAGAAAAGCCGAACAGTGGCTTCGGCGTTCTGCCAGGCTCAAACAGAAGAAGATAAAGGAACCTCAGGTAAAGCAAAATGGACTTTGCTGGACTATTACCCTGGACTACTTTGTTCCTGTTTATCTTCCTACCTAATTGGATTTACCTATTTCTTTAAAGTGCTTTTATACTTTACTGCTTTTTAAATATTTCCAATAAAATGATTGTTTTCCTAACCAACGGTGTGATGTTTAAAGGGCTTTTCCTGTCCTGGAGTGCAACAGGAGCTTCCGCAGCAAACAGGTAGATGGTCAGACGCCGTTCCCTGTAAACACGGAAGCAATAGCTACACACGGCAAAAAACACGAGATTTTCAGGTGCGGGAATATCTCGATTCTGAGTCGAAAATCCGCAACTTCGAATGTCTGTATGTCCCTGCACTCGGAAATTATGGGTTTGTTCCCGGGTTTTAGATTACTGTTCCTGATTGGTCGGTTCCTAAAAAGAAGGTGACGGTTAACCAGAAGGCGAAAACTTTGTTTGTGTGCCAGAAATTTCATGAATCGTGTGGGACGGAGGTTTAGCACAGCTGGTAAATCATCAGCAATTATAAGATCTATCAACCAAAAGGTTACAAGTTCGAAGCCCCGGTTTGGCGTGAGCTGCTAACTGTCAGCCTAGCTCATTGTTTACCTAAGCAATTCGAAAACGGCTTTAGCTGTGATTAGAGAAATTAGGTACCGCTAAAAGCGCCATAAAGAAAGAAGATCAGAAAATGCTGGGCGACTAAAAGGAAGGGGGAAGTCCTGATGGCTCTTCGTTATAGAGCAACAGCACCCACTGGACTCGAGTCCAAACTTCCATGGTACCTCCTTCTGTCCTGTCTATCTGTGTATTGTCTATACAAAGTGGCATTGAATGTTTGCCATGTATGTGTACTATGATCCGCCCTGAGTCCCTTTCGGAGTGAGAACGACAGAATATAAATAAATTATTATTATTATTATTATTATTAATAATAATAATAATAATAATAATATTTCTCTGGCCTTAGCTTCAAAATGCATTTGGGGTATAAGGGTTTCCTCACCTCTCCGGGTGTCCATTGTTAACCATGTCACGGCTCTGGAGGGAGAGCTGGTGGATGGTCTGTGCGTAGTCCTCCAGGGCTTGCTCCATCACTAGGTGGTTCTTCACCATGGCTTGGGCTATGAGTTCATCCTAGGGAAGGGAAGCAACCTCTGGTTTGACTTGGACAGTCGTAGTAGCAGCAGAAGGACCAAAGCCTGGAGAACATGCCATTCATCATAGAGACCCCAAGGGTCATCCACTCCAAACCCTTTCTGGAAGGCAGAAAGATCCAGCCATCCAGCCTCTCCATCATCGCCATCGCCATCGCCATCGCCATCACCATCATCGAACCATACAATCCTAGAGTTGGAAGAGACTACACGGGGCATCCAGTCTCTCCCCCTTCTGCCATAAAGGAAGCACAATCTAAGCCCTCCTAACAGATGGTCATCCAGCCTCTGCATCATCATCATCATCATCCAACCATACAATCCTAGATTTGGAAGACCACATGGGGCATCCAGGCACAATCTAAGCCCTCCCAACAGATGGCCATCCAGCCTCTGCATCATCATCATCATCATCATCATCATCATCATCATCATCACCATCATCGTCATTATCATCGAACCATACAATTCTAGAGTTGGAAGAGACCACATGGGACATCCAGTCCCTCCCTGTTCTGCCATAAGGGAAGGCACAATCGAAGCCCTCCTAACAGATGGTCATCCAGACTCTGCATCATCATCATCATCATCCAACCATACAATCCTAGATTTGGAAGACCACATGGGGCATCCAGGCACAATCTAAGCCCTCCCAACAGATGGCCATCCAGCCTCTGCATCAACATCATCATCATCATCGAACCATACAATCCTAGAGTTGGAAAAGACCACACGGGGCATCCAGTCTCTCCCCATCTGCCATAAAGGAAGCACAATCTAAGCCCTCCTAACAGATGGCCATCCAGCCTCTGCATCATCCTCATCCTCATCATCATCATCATACTTAATCATCATCATCATCATTGAACCATACAATCTAGAGTTGGAAGAGACCACATGGGACATCCAGTCCCTCCCTGTTCTGCCATAAAGGAAGCACAATCTAAGCCCTCCCAACAGATGGCCATCCAGCCTCTGCATCATCATCATCATCATCACCATCATCATCATCATCGAACCATCCAATTCTAGAGTTGGAAGAGACCACATGGGACATCCAGTCCCTCCCTGTTCTGCCAAAAGGGAAGGCACAATTGAAGCTCTCCTAACAGATGGTCATCCAGCCTGTGCATCATCATCATCATCATCATCATCATCATCATCATCATCATCATCGAACCATACCGTCCTAGATTTGGAAGAGACCACATGGGGCATCCAGGCACAATCTAAGCCCTCCCAACAGATGGCCATCCAGCCTCTGCATCATCATCATCATCATCATCATCATCATCATCATCATTATCATCGAACCATACAATCCTAGAGTTGGAAGGGACCATATGGGGCACCTAGTCTCTCCCTGTTCTGCCATAAGGGAAGGCACAATCAAAGCCCACCTAACAGATGGTCATCCAGCCTATGCATAATAATAATCATCATCATCATCATCATACTTAATCATCATCATCATCACTGAACCATACAATCCTAGAGTTGGAAGAGACCACACGGGGCATCCAGTCTCTCCCTTTCTGCCATAAGAGAAGGCACAATCTAAGCCCTCCCAACAGATGGCCACCCAGCCTATTCATCATCATCATCATCATCATCATTGAACCATACAATCCTAGATTTGGAAGAGACCACATGGGGCATTCAGGCACAATGTAAGCCCTCTCAACAGATAGCCATCCAGCTTCTGCATCATCATCACCATCATCAGCATCATCATCAGCATCATCATACCAAACAATTCTAGAGTTGGAAGAGACCACATGGGACATCCAGTCCCTCCCTGTTCTGCCATAAGGGAAGGCACAATCGAAGCCCTCCTAACAGATGGTCATCCAGCCTCTGCATCATCATCATCACGATCATCATCATCATCATCATCATCATCATCATCATCATCATCAAACCATACAAACCTAGAGTTGGAAGAGCCCACATGGGACATCTAGTCCCTCCCTGTTCTGCCATAAGAGAAGGCACAATCTAAGCCCTCCCAACAGATGGCCATCCAGCCTATGCATCATCACCATCATCACCATCACCATCACCACCACCACCAGCATCATCATCATCATCATCATCATCATCATCATCATCATCATCAAACCATACAATCCTAGATTTGGAAGAGACCACATGAGGCATCCAGGCACAATGTAAGCCCTCCCAACAGATAGTCATCCAGCCTCTGCATCATCATCATCACGATCATCATCATCAAACCATACAAACCTAGAGTTGGAAGAGCCCACATGGGACATCCAGTCCCTCCCCGTTCTGCCATAAGGGAAGGCACAATCTAAGCCCTCCCAACAGATGGCCATCCAGGTTATGCATCATCATCGAACCATACAATCCTAGATTTGGAAGAGACCACATGGGACATCCAGTCCCTCCCTGTTCTGTCACAAAGGAATGCACAATCTAAGCCCTCCCAACAGATGGCCATCCAGCCTATACATCATCATCATCATCATCATCATCATCATCATCATCATCATTGAACCATACAATCAATGGAAGAGACCACATGGGGCATCCAGGCACAATGTAAGCCCTCCCAACAGATAGCAATCCAGCCTCTGCATCATCATCATCATCATCATCATCATCATCATCATCATCGTCATCATACCATACAATTCTAAAGTTGGAAGAGACCACATGGGACATCCAGTCCCTCCCCGTTCTGCCATAAGGGAAGGCATAATCTAAGCCTTCCCAACGGATGGCCATCCAGCCTGTGCATCATCATCATCGAACCATACAATCCTAGATTTGGAAGAGACACAATGTAAGCCCTCCCAACAGATAGCCATCCAGCCTCTGCATCATCATCATCATCATCATCATCATCATCATCATCATCGTCATCGTACCATACAATTCTAAAGTTGGAAGAAACCACATGGGACATCCAGTCCCTCCCCATTCTGCCATAAGGGAAGGCACAATCTAAGCCTTCGCAATGGATGGCCATCCAGCCTGTGCATCATCATCGTCATAATCATCGAACCATACAATCCTAGAGTTGGAAGAGACCACATGGGACATCCAGTCCCTCCCCGTTCTGCCATAAGGGAAGGCATAATCTAAGCCTTCCCAATGGATGGCCATCCAGCCTGTGCATCATCATCATCATAATCATTGAACCATACAATCCTAGAGTTGGAAGAGACCATATAGGATATCCAGTTGAACCCCCTGCCATGCAGAAAAAGCACAATCAAAGCATCCCTGACAGATGGCCATCCAGACTCTGCTTTAAAAGCCTCCAAAAAAGGAGCTTCCACCGTTGAACAGCTGTTTTTATGTTCAGGAGGTTCTTCCTAATGTTCAGGGAGAACCTCCTTTCCCGTCATATGAACCAATGGCATGTGCCTTGTCGCTTGGCGCACCTTTGCCTTCTCCTCTGAGATCATGTGCAACTCCTGCTCCCCCATCCAGGCCTCAGCCTCCGCGGCATCGAAGTAGAACTGCTGGGCCATCTGGGCTTGCTCCAGCCGCCCGTGCCGCTGCTCCACCTGGTTCTGCAGCTCCTGCCACATCTCCTGCAAGGCCTCCACACGGCCCTGCAGCTCGGCCTCCAGACCGCTGCACGCCAGCCCTTGCCACCTCCCGAGGATGTCGTTGATGCGCGGCTGGTGGCCCTGGATCTCCTTCTGGAGGGTCTGGGAAAGAGAGAGAGCATCAGGAAGGAGCCATTCTCCTGGGCACACAAGAAAGTGGAAACAGGGATGGTTATCCACCCAAGCTCTACCTGGTTTTTCTTGATCAGGAGCTGGACGGTAGGAAGATCTTTGCCATGATCGGTGGAGACCGCCATGGGCATCCGCTCCTTCACCCACAACTGTGGCACAGAAGGGAAGTTTTATTATTATTATTATTATTATTATTATTATTATTAAAAACATTGATATTCCGCCCTTCTCACCCCGAAGGGGACTCAGGGCAGAGCACAGCATATACACGGCAAGCATTCAATGCCAAGACACAAATTCATATACACATACATAAACATTTATCAAAATATTAAAATACACCATTTAAAACCGTCTTAGTCATCCACGTCAAATCTAATTAGCCTGGTCATCTTTCCTATTGCCGCTTTATTGCCCTGTCCCGAAAGCTTGGTCCCACAGCCAAGTTTTGACCATCCTTCTAAAGGACAGGAGAAAGGAGGCCGACCTGATCTCACCAGGAAGGGAGTTCCATAGCCAGGGAGCAATCACCAAGAAGGCCCTGTCTCTCGTCCCCACCAATGGCAGGACGGAAAGCAGGGCCTCCCCGGAGGATCTTAATCTCCGCGATGGTTCATAGGGGGAGATGCGTTCGGACAGGTAATTTGGACCAAGGCCGTTTAGGGCTTTATAGATCAAAGCCAGCACTTTGAATTGTGCCCGGTAGTAAACTGGCAGCCAGTGGAGCTGGCATAACATGGGAGTTGTTTGCTCCCTGTATGCAGCCCCAGTTATTTACCTGGCTGCCTCTCGTTGGACTATTTGAAGCTTCCGAGCAGTCTTCAAAGGCAACCCCACATAGAGTGTGTTGCAGTAGTCTATCCTGGATGTAACAAGAGTGTGGACCACCATGGCCAAGTCTGACTTCCCAATGCGCACAAGCTTTAATTGTGCGAATGCTCCCCTGGCCACTGCTGCAACCTGGGATTCCAGGCTCAGTGATGAGTCCAGAAGGACCCCCAAGCTGCAAACCTGGGCCTTCAAGGGGAGTGTGACCCCATCCAGCACAGGTTGTGACCCTATATCCTGTTCGGCCTTGTGACTGACCAGGAGGACCTCTGTCTTGTCTGGATTCAATTTCAATTTGCTCGCCCTCATCCAGACTGTCATAGCGGCCAGGCAAAGTCAACATCGACACCGAAATACACCGCCTGAGCTCTGCGAATGCAGCATTTTTCCGAATGAAACAGAGAGTGTTTGAGGACCGGGACATCCGTAGGGATACCAAGGTGCTTGTTTATAAAGCTATTGTCCTCCCAACCCTGCTATATGCCTGTGAAACATGGACAGTTTACAGATGTCAACATTGAGACTGAAATACAACACCGCCTGAGCTCTGCGAGTGCAGCATTTTTCCGAATGAAGCAGAGAGTGTTTGAGGACCGAGACATCCGTAGGGATACCAAGGTGCTTGTTTATAAAGCTATTGGCCTCCGCTGGACCGGCCACGTTGTCTGGATGCCCGACCACCATCTCCCAAAGCAGTTGCTCTACTCCGAACTCAAGAACGGAAAACGGAATGTTGGTGGACACGAAAAGAGATTGAAACATGGGCTCAAAGCCAACCTTAAAACTTTGGCATAGACACTGAAAACCGGGAAGCCCTGGCCCTTGAGTGCTCCAGCTGGAGGTCAGCTGTGACCAGCAGTGCTGCAGAATTTGAAGGGGCACGAATGGAGGGCTTAAGAGAGAAACGTGCCAAGAGGAAGGTGCATCAAGCCAACCTCAACCGAGACTGCCTTCCACCTGGAAACCAATGCCCTCACTGCGGGAGAAAATGCAGGTCAAGAATAGGGCTCCACAGTCACCTACGGACCCACCACCAGGACGCTACACTTGGAGGACCATCATCCTCGGACTAAGAGGGATCGCCTAAGTAAGTAAGTAAGTAAGTGGCCAGGCACCGGTTCAGGACTTAGCATCTGTTGGAAATGAGTGATAAAGTTGGACATCATCTGCATACAGATGGCATCGAACTCCAGAGGCTTAAACAACATGGGAGACAATACTGAGACCTGTGGGACCCCACAGGACAATGGCTGTGGGGTCGAGCCAGAGTCCCCCAGCAACACCTTCTGGGTACAACCCTCCAAGAAGGACTGGAGCCACCACAGAACAGTCCCTCGAAGACTCATTCCTGGGAGGCATTTCATTTAGGAAAAAGTTACATACCGTATATACTCGAGTATAAGCCGACTCGAATATAAACCGAGACACCTAATTTTACCATAAAAAAACTGGGAAAACGTATTGACTCAAGTATAAGCCGAGGGTGGGAAATGCAGCAGCTACTGCTCAATTTCAAAATAAAAATAGATACCAATAAAATGTTTTTGAATATTTATACTGCAATTTAAGACATGGCTGTCCAACTTTGATTCTAAGTTTTCAATGTAGATGTGCTTATGTATCCTTCCAATAATAATAGAGTAACATAATAAATGTAATAATAAGAGTAATAATAGAGTAAAATAATAACAATAATAAATCGATTAAAATAATACATGTAATAACAACAATAATAAAGTGAAATAAATGTAATAATAATAGAGTAAAATGATAGAAATAATAATAATAATAATAATAATAGAGTAAAATAATACATGTAATAAAAATACTAATAACAGAGTAAAATAATAAATAACCTTGATTCGAGTATAAGCCGAGAGGAACATTTTCAGCCTATAAAAAGGGCTGAAAAACTAGGTTTATACTCGAGTATATACAGTACTTTGATATTTACTGATATGGGGATGTGATTTATTTGAAATGTTATCCTGCCCTGACCCTCAACAAATGCGAGATATTGGGGCAAATCATGAAGCCTCGAGAGACTCAGCGGCTGCACCCTCTGGCTATCTGTGGGTCAGCAATCCCGCACCCCCGCCATTCTTCCCAGGACTTACGATTTCGTCCTCCAAGTCGCGGTTGAACTGGTGCTCCTCCTTCGAGGCCAGCAGCTTCTCGCAGCGCTCCCGCAAAGGCGCCCGTAGCTCCACAAACCTGTCCTCCACCGTCCGCAGTTTGCCATCCACCTCCACCGTGTTGGAGTCCTCCTGGCTGAGGGCCAAGGCCTGGGCTTTCAGGCCCTCCACCTCCTTCTCCCGGACGGCCATCTGGTTCTCCATCATCTGGGTGAGAAAAGCCAGCTCTTTAAGCCACTCCTCGAGGATTCATGAACCCAGAACCTTTAATCTGCCAAGATGCCGCCCTCCCCTGTCTCCCTAGATGACGCAACGCTCACCTGCTGCTTCTTGAGCAAAATGTTGACGCTGGTCAAGTCCTTGCCGTAGTCGTCGGAGTGGAGCTGGGTCTGCAGGCCGCTCAGCCAGGCTTCCATGGCAGAACAGCTCTGGGTGAAGAGCTCGGCTCGGTTGGCGTCAAAGAGGCACTGAGCCTTGCTCTGCGTGCTGGATTCCAGCTCCTCCCAAAGCTTTTGCAGCCCTGTGAGCTTCTCCTGCACCACAGGGTCCAACTCTGGCTTTTCGGACACCAGCTGCTCCCCTTCCTGCCAAAAAAATGGAGAGTTAGAATGATACCGTGGCACTGGACTAGTGTGGTGGTTTGTGCTGGGCTGCATGTGGTAGATCTGGATTTGCTAGTCCAGTGTTACTTTAACCTGGGGGTCAGGACTCCTGGAAGGGTCACCATAGACTATCAAAAAGCATATATTTATGATGGAATAGATCTAGGGAAGTCATGCTCCCCATGCTCTATTCCGCTTTGGTTAGACCACACCTGGAATATTGTGTCCAATTCTGGGCACCACAATTCAAGAGAGAGATTGACAAGCTGGAATGTGTCCAGAGGAGAGCGACTCAAATGATCAAGGGTCTGGAGAACAAGCCCTATGAGGAGCGGCTTAAGGAGCTGGACATGTTTAGCCTGAAGAAGAGAAGGCTGAGAGGAGATATGATAGCCATGTATAAATATGTGGGAGGAAGTCATAGGGAGGAGGGAGCGAACTTGGAGACTAGGACGCAATGGAACAATGGCTTCAAACTACAAGAGAGCAGATTCCATCTGAACATGAGGAAGAACTTCCTGACTGTGAGAGCCGTTCAGCCGTGGAACTCTCTGCCCCGGAGTGTGGTGGAGGCTCCTTCTTTGGAAGCTTTTAAACAGGGGCTGGATGGCCATCTGTCAGGGGTGATTTGAATGCAACATTCTTGCTTCTTGGCAGAATGGGGTTGGACTGGATGGCCCATGAGGTCTCTTCCAACTCTTTGATTCTATGATTCTATGATGGTCTTAGGAACCCTTTTAACAGAGAAAGCTGAAGATATCTCCGCCTGTCCTTCTCTTTCTTTTTGGAAACAGAGGGTGAATCTGGGTTGTTGTAGGTTTTTTCGGGCTATATGGCCATGGTCTAGAGGCATTCTCTCCTGACGTTTCGCCTGCATCTATGGCAAGAGGTAGTGAGGTGTGAGGGTGAATCCTCCCACCAAAGGTCCTCCTCCGCTGTGACTGCCCGGCCTTTCAGCCAAAGGGAGGGCTTTTTGTGAGACCCCAAGCGGGGAGGGGAGAGCAGGCGTGCTCGGCACATGGCAGCGTAGTGCGCATGTGCCAGGTAAGGGAGAGCATGTGAGAGCAAGTCCCTTCAAGGCATGGGAGTTCTGTGTGGGAAGTCTGCCCCAATTCTATCATTGTTGGGGTTCAGAATGCTCTTTGATTGTAGGTGAACTCTAAATCCCAGCAACTACAGCTCCCAAATGTCAAGGTCTATTTTCCACAAACTCCACCAGTGTTCACAGATGGGCATATTGAGTATTCATGCCAAGTTAATAATAATAATAATAATAATAATAATAATAATAATAATAACACTTTATTTGTACCCCGCTACCATCTCCCCAAGGGACTCGGTGCGACTTACATGAGGACGAGCCCAAACACAACAATAGAAGCAATAATCACACAAAGTTTGGTCCAGATCTATCGTTATTTGAATCCACAGTGCTTTCTGGATGTAGGTGAACTACAACTCCAAAATGCAAGGTCAATGCCCACCAAATCCTTCCAGTATTTTCTGTCGGTCATGGGAGTTCTGTGTGCCAAGTTTGGTTCAATTCCATCATTGGTGGAGCTCAGAATGCTCTTTGGTTGTAGGTGAACTATAAATCCCAGCAACTCCGACTCTCAAATATCAAGGTCTATTTCCCCGCAAACTCCACCAGTGTCCACATTTGAGTATCCATGCCAAGTTTGTTCCAGATCCAGCATTGTTTGAGTCCACAGTACTCTCTGGATGTGTAGGTGAACTACAACTCCTAAACTCAATGCCCAGTATGGAAGCTTCCGGAGCCCCCATTGGCACAGTGGGTTAAACCCTTGTGCTGGCAGGATTGAAGACTGACAGTTCGTAGGTTCGAATCCAGGGAGAGCGTGGATGAGCTCTCTCTGTCAGCTCCAGCTCCCCATGTGGGAACATGAGAGAAGCCTCCCACAAGGATGGTAAAACGTCCGGGTGTCCTCTGGGCAACGTCCTTGCAGACGGCTAATTCTCTCACACCAGAAGCGACTTGCAGTTTCTCAAGTCGCTTCTGACACAAAAAAAGGGAGTTCTGTGTGCCAAGTTTGGTTCAATTCCCGAATGCTCTTTGATTGTAGGTTAATTATAAATCCCAGCAATGACAACTCCCAAATGACAACATCAACCCTCGCTCTCAACCTGTCAGGTTTTACAATGTATTGTAATGTAATATAGCTGAGTCATGCACTGCTAATGGGCTTCTATTGGAAATGCTGAGTCATGCATTAACTGTATATAGGGAATCATTTGGGGAATGTCTTCTGGCCTAGTCCAGGTGATTGTGAATGATGTAATCCTGGATTTGAGTTAAGTTAATGAGTTGGGAACCAATCGGTGATTGCTATGTGTAAATGAATTGTATATAAGGAAGTCGTGTACAGTGTATATCTCTCCTTGTGCTGTGATGTTGTTCGTCGAAGGCTATATGTAATTAAAAGAACCTGTCTGATGAGACAAGATATAACTGTATGTTGCGTTAGTTTGTAATATCATCTAGACTGGGGGAAAGACAATGGTAAAACTGACAATGGCCGGGCATGTGCTCAAGTGTATGTAAAAGGTTCCAGAGTGACTGCAGGCTGTGGGAGCAGTTGACTGAAAATACTGTGCAGGAAGAAGCTACTGGAAAGCACTGAAGTTGTGCAACTGATCTGCTGCTGAATTGTGAAGTTAATCTCAATACAACCCCACCAGTATTCAAATTTGGGCGTATCGGGCATTTGTGCCAAATTTGGTCCAGTGAATGAAAATATATCCTGCATATCAGATATTTACATAACAATTAATAATAGTAGCAGAATGACAGTTATGAAGGAGCAATGAAAATAATGTTATGGTTGAGGGTCACCACAATTAAGGGGGTTGCAGCATTGCAAAGGCTGAGAAACACTGCTCTAGTCCCTTATAAGCCATAAAACACAGCAGGGGATCTTTGACCGTTTACCCACCTTCTGAATCTTCTCCAGCCATCCCTTGTTGGAGGCCAACTCTGCCATGAAGGCCTGGTGCTTCTGCCATTTGGTGTGAAGGTTGCGCGCTTCGTCATAGGACATGTCTTGGGCAGAAAGCATCTTCTCGTTGATCCATAGGGTGAGCTGGGGAAAGGCAAGGAGAAAAGCTTAGTGTTGTAGAGTGTTCCTTGTAAAAGAAAGAAATAGTTCACAAAGCAAGCTGCCTGTCCGTCCTTTGTGGGCAAGTTAAGAAAAATGTGTGTGTTTTGTTGAAGATCTAAGCAATAATAAAGAACTCTGTTAAACTTTCCAAGTTTCTAAAGAATTTGTTTAGGAAAATCCATAGGGCCTCTCAGTCGAGGTACCCCGGCGTCCCGCTGGGCACAAAGAGCACGTCCTGTTTTAAAAGACAATTGCTATAGGCCCAGAGCGTGTCAGCACAGAGACCTTCTCCGTGGCCGCACCCCGCCTCTGGAACTCCCTCCCAAAAGAACTCTCTTCCTCCTCTCCTTTAAGAAGCTCTTAAAGACTCATTTGTATAATCTCGCCTATGGAAAGGAGGAGGATTAGCACATCTGACACACACTCCTGCCCTGACAATAGATAGTTACATCAGCTTGCTGATGCTGCTATATTATATTATGCTTTTAATATATTTTATATTAATTGTTTTAATTTTTGTGTCTATTATGTTTATTTAGTCCAGTGGTTCCCAAACTTTTTTATTTTTTTTATCAGAGACCACTTTGACCAGGGACCACTTGGACCAGGGACCGCTTTGACCAGGAATCACTCTGACGAGGGACCACTCTGACGAGGAACCACTTGGACCAGGGACCACTCGGATCAGGGACCACTCTACCAGGAACCACTCTGACCAGGGACCACTCGGACCAGGTACCACTCTGACCAGGGTCCACTCGGACCAGGGACCGCTTTGACCAGGGACCACTTGGACCAGGAACCACTTTGACCGGAACCACTCTGACCAGGGACCACTCGGACCAGGGACCACTCTGACCAGGGACCACTCTGACCAGGGACCACTTGGACCAGGGACCATTTTGACCAGGAACCACTCTGACCAGGGACCACTTTGACGAGGAACCACTTGGACCAGGGACCACTTTGACCAGGAACCACTTTGACCAGGGACCACTTGGACCAGGGATCACTTTGACCAGGGACCACTCTGACCAGGGACCACTTGGACCAGGGATCACTTTGACCAGGGACCACTCTGACCAGGGACCACTTGGACCAGGGACCACTCTGACCAGGGACCATTTGGACCAGGGACCACTCTGACCAGGGACCACTTGGACCAGGGATCACTTTGACCAGGGACCACTCTGACCAGGGACCACTTGGACCAGGGATCACTTTGACCAGGGACCACTTGACCAGGGACCACTTGACCAGGGACCACTTGACCAGGGACCACTTTGACCAGGGACCACTTGACCAGGGACCACTTGACCAGGGACCACTTGACCAGGGACCACTTGACCAGGGACCACTTGACCAGGGACCACTGACCAGGGACCACTTGGACCAGGGACCACTTGACCAGGGACCACTTGGACCAGGGACCACTCTGACCAGGGACCATTTGGACCAGGGACCACTCTGACCAGGGACCACTTGGACCAGGGATCACTTTGACCAGGGACCACTCGGACCAGGGACCACTCTGACCAGGGACCACTCTGACCAGGGACCACTTGACCAGGGACCACTTGACCAGGGACCACTTTGACCAGGGACCACTTTGACCAGGGACCACTTTGACCAGGGACCACTTTGACCAGGGAACACTTGACCAGGGACCACTTAGACCAGGGACCACTTTGACCAGGGACCACTTTGACCAGGGACCACTTGACCAGGCACTACTTGCCAGGAACCACTTGATGAGGGACCACTTTGACCAGGGACCACTTGACCAGGGACCACTTGGACCAGGGACCACTTTGACCAGGGACCACTTGGACCAGGGACCACTTGGACCAGGGACCACTTGGACCAGGGACCACTTGGACCAGGGACCACTTGGACCAGGGACCACTTTGACCAGGGAACCACTTTGACCAGGGACCACTTTGACCAGGGACTACTTGGACCAGGGACCATTTGTACCAGGGACCACATGGATCAGGGACCACTTTGACCAGGGACCACTTGGACCAGGGACCACTTGACCAGGGACCACTTGGACCAGGGACCACTTTGACCAGGGACCACTTGACCAGGAACCACTTTGACCAGGGACCACTTGACCAGGGACCACTTTGACCAGGGACCACTCTGACCAGGGACCACTTGGACCAGGGATCACTTTGACCAGGGACCACTCTGACCAGGGACCACTCTGACCAGGGACCACTTGGACCAGGGACCACTCGGACCAGGGACCACTCTGACCAGGGACCACTCTGACCAGGGACCCCTCTGACCAGGGACCACTTGGACCAGGGACCACTTGGACCAGGGACCACTCTGACCAGGGACCACTTGGACCAGGGACCACTTGGACCAGGGACCACTTTGACGAGGAACCACTCTGACCAGGGACCACTTTGACCAGGAACCACTTTGACCAGGGACCACTCTGACCAGGGACCACTTTGACGAGGAACCACTCTGATGAGGGACCACTTGGACCAGGGACCACTTGGATCAGGGACCGCTTTGACCAGGGACCACTCTGACCAGGGACCATTTGGACCAGGGACCACTTGGACCAGGGACCACTCTGACCAGGGACCCCTCTGATCAGGGACCACTTGGACCAGGGACCACTTTGACCAGGAACCACTCTGACCAGGGACCACTTTGACCAGGGACCACTTGACCAGGGACCACTTGGACCAGGGACCACTTTGACCAGGAACCACTTTCACCAGGGACCACTTGGACCAGGGACCACTTGGACCAGGACCACTTTGACCAGGGACCACTTGACCAGGGAACCACTTGGACCAGGGACCACTTTGACCAGGGACCACTCTGACCAGGGACCACTTTGACCAGGGACCACTTTGACCAGGGACCACTCTGACCAGGGACCACTTGGACCAGGGATCACTTTGACCAGGGACCACTCTGACCAGGGACCACTCTGACCAGGGACCACTCTGACCAGGGACCACTTGGACCAGGGACCACTTGACCAGGGACCACTTGACCAGGGACCACTTGACCAGGGACCACTTGACCAGGGACCACTTGACCAGGGACCACTTGACCAGGGACCACTTTGACCAGGGACCACTTTGACCAGGGACCACTCTGACCAGGGACCACTTTGACGAGGAACCACTCTGATGAGGGACCACTTGGACCAGGGACCACTTGGATCAGGGACCGCTTTGACCAGGGACCACTCTGACCAGGGACCATTTGGACCAGGGACCACTTGGACCAGGGACCACTCTGACCAGGGACCCCTCTGATCAGGGACCACTTGGACCAGGGACCACTTTGACCAGGAACCACTCTGACCAGGGACCACTCTGACCAGGGACCACTCTGACCAGGGACCACTTGACCAGGGACCACTTGACCAGGGACCACTTTGACCAGGGACCACTTTGACCAGGGACCACTCTGACCAGGGACCACTCTGACCAGGGACCACTCTGACCAGGGATCACTTGGACCAGGGACCACTTGGACCAGGGACCATTTTGACCAGGAAGCACTCTGACCAGGGACCACTTTGACGAGGAACCACTCTGACCAGGGACCACTCTGACCAGGGACCACTCTGATCAGGGACCACTCGGACCAGGGACCACTTGGACCAGGGACCACTTGGACCAGGGACCACTTGGACCAGGGACCACTCTGACCAGGGACCACTTGGACCAGGGACCACTTGGACCAGGGACCACTTTGATGAGGAACCACTCTGACCAGGGACCACTTTGACCAGGAACCACTTTGACCAGGGACCACTCTGACCAGGGACCACTTTGACGAGGAACCACTCTGATGAGGGACCACTTGGACCAGGGACCACTTGACCAGGGACCACTTGACCAGGGACCACTCTGACCAGGGACCACTCTGACCAGGGACCACTCTGACCAGGGACCACTCTGACCAGGGACCACTCTGACCAGGGACCACTCTGACCAGGGACCACTCTGACCAGGGACCACTCTGACCAGGGACCACTCTGACCAGGGACCACTCTGACCAGGGACCACTTGAACTGGAACCACTTGACCAGGGACCACTTGACCAGGGACCACTTGACCAGGAACCACTCTGACCAGGGACCACTCTGACCAGGGATCACTTGGACCAGGGACCACTTGGACCAGGGACCATTTTGACCAGGAAGCACTCTGACCAGGGACCACTTTGACGAGGAACCACTCTGACCAGGGACCACTCTGACCAGGGACCACTCTGATCAGGGACCACTCGGACCAGGGACCACTTGGACCAGGGACCACTTTGACCAGGAACCACTCTGACCAGGAACCACTCTGACCAGGGACCACTCTGACCAGGGATCACTTGGACCAGAGACCACTTGAACCAGGGACCACTTTGACCAGGGACCACTCGGACCAGGAACCACTTTGACAAGGAACCACTCTGACCAGGAACCACTCTGACCAGGGACCACTTGACTAGGGGCTACTTGACCAGAGACCGCTTTGACCAGGGACCACTCTCCAACCTTAGTACAAAAGGGTTATGAATCCATTTTTGATCAACCTTAGATTTGGTTTTGGGTCCAGATTCATAAAATCGCACTGGATATACCACATCAGCTCTAGTTTTTGATAGAGAACAAATACCATGGTCAGCGATAGGGAAGGAGTGGCAGATAATGGGAGCGGCAATAAAATAAAATAAATAAAGAGGAGGGAGGTTAGCGGACCAGATTTTTATTCTTGTGGGCCACAGACCACTGGTGGTCTGTGGCCCACAAGTTAAGAACCACTGATTTAGTCCAACGCTTGGTTTTGGTTGTTTATAACTTATATTGAGTTTATGTTATATTATGTTTCACTTTTTTGTTTTGGGGCATTGAATGTTTGCCATGTTTGTTATTTTTTGTTAACTTCCCTGAGGCCCTTTGGGGGGAGACGACAGGTTATAAAATAATAATAATAATAATAATAATAATAATAATAATAATAATAATAATAATAATAGATAGCGGGGTACAAATAAAGTATTATTATTATTATTATTATTATTATTATTATTATTATTGAGTCTTATTGCTCACCTCTTGGCAGTCTTGCAGAAAGTGCTGGAGTTCCCGATTGTCACGGAGCCGAGCCAGGAGGTCTTGGGCCGCGTCTTGGTTTTTCCTGTGTCTGTTTTGGTGGGAAGGAGAGGCAGAGAGATGAGCATGAGATATTCAGAAGGGGACACCAGCCAGAGCTTCTAGCTGGAATCATCTCAGGCAAGAGCACACCAAATTTTTATTTCTTTTCACTTCATGCCGAGATGGCTTTGCTGCACAAACCACCGGATTCCTGATCCAGGAGGAGGGTAACTTACCGACTGTCAATGGAATTGACCTTCTCCTGGATCTTTTCCGAGTGGAGGCTGTCCTCCATAATCAGCTTCCGGCCCGAGTCCACCAACCCTTTGATCTTCTCCCCGTTGGCCTCCATGGTAGTCATGAAATCCTCGTGCTTTTTAATGGCAGCCTCAGCAGCTTGGAGGGAGCTGGGCATGCTCGTGTGCGTCAGGACGTATTCCTGCAGGAAGAGGTTTTGCAGGAAGGAGGGGAAAGAAAAATACTGAGGTAAGAAATGGTTCCTTTCCTGAAAGAGTCTTTGAGTGAAATTAGCAAATGCTAAGCAAGGGGCTTTGAATGAAATTAGCAACAAACATAAGAAATGTACCCTTTCTCTGTAAAAAATGAGCAACATGGAAGAAAATGTTTTAAAAACAACCTTACATAGGAAGTTGGGTTGTGGTTAAGTGCAAAGGTTGTGGTTAAGCGCAAAGTCTGCAGGTGCAAGAAGGTAATTTCCACCAAGAGGTTGATGGGGCAGGAAGAATAAAGGTCAAAGTACTTTCCATGAGAAAAATATTCTTGTTTACTTGAGGGTATATAAAGGTTTACAAAAGCCGGGGGGGGGGGGGGGGGGGGGGGGTGAGCGGCAGTCTGCAGAAGGACATGAAAAAGTGCTGTCTGTCCACCTCATGCTGATCAGCTTGAATAAACGGTGTCTTACATGAACCTATTGGACTCTGTAGATCACTTTGATCCAAAACCCGTAATCCCTTACATTCCTAGGTGGTAAATGCTGCGGGAAGGGCAAAAGGGGGAAGTTTCCTCCCACAACTATCTCTGGCCATTCATTTTTCATATCACTGGAAGTCCCGATTTTTGTGATATGTGAGTTTCACGGAAGAAGTCTGCATATGTAATGCAAAAGGTCTCAAGGGGTCACTCTAGAGCCCTCGGTGGCGCTGTCAGCCCTAGCTTCTGCTTACTCATAGTACGGAAACAGCAATTTGAGTAGATAAATAGGTACTGCTGTGGCGGGGAGGTAAAAGGTGCCTCTGAAGACATGCAGGCAACTACCTCATCCAGGGTTTTATCATTTTAGCTTGTCCATTTGGCCTGCCCATTGTGTTCGATTTTTTATTATGCTATTTTGCTTTGTTTACTTTTATTATTACTAGTATTACTAGCTCGCTTCAGGAAAGGCAAAAGCTGCACATCGCAAGTGCTGAACCTGACTCAGCACATAGAAGATGGCTTAGAAAGGCAGCAGATCACACGAGCCGTCTTCATAGACCTGTCAGCGGCTTATGATACTGTGAACCACCGCCTCCTCCTAAGAAAAATGTATAGTATCACAAAGGACTACCGCCTCACCTGCCTCATAGAAGCCTGCTACAAAACAGGAGCTTCTTTGTTGAGTTCCAGGGCCAGAGAAGCAGATGGCGAAAACAGGGGAGCGTGCTAGCCCCATCCATGTTCAACATCTACACAAATGGCCAGCCACTGCCAGAAGGGACAGAGAGCTTCATCTATGCTGATGATCGTGCCATTACTGCTCAAGCAAGGAGCTTTGAGATGGTTGAACAGAAGCTCTCCGAAGCTCTAGGTGCTTTTACTGCCTATTACAGGGAAAACCAACTGATCCCTAATCCATCTAAAACACAGACATGTGCTTTTCACCTCAAGAACAGACAAGCATCCCGAGCTCTGAGGATCACCTGGGAAGGAATCCCACTGGAGCATTGCAGCGCACCCAAATACCTGGGAGTCACTCTGGACCGTGCTCTTACCTACAAGAAGCACTGCCTGAACATCAAGCAAAAAGTGGGTGCTAGAAACAATATCATACGAAAGCTGACTGGCACAACCTGGGGATCACAACCAGATACAGTGAAGACATCTGCCCTTGCGCTGTGCTAATCTGCTGCTGAGTATGCATGCCCAGTGTGGAACACATCTCACCACACTAAAACAGTGGATGTGGCTCTTAATGAGACATGCCGCATTATCACGGGTGTCTGCGCCCTACACCACTGGAGAAATTACACTGCTTAGCCGGTATTGCACCACCTGACATCCGCCGGGAAGTAGCAGCCAATAGTGAAAGGACCAAGGCAGAGACATCTCCAGATCACCCCCTGTTTGGGTATCAACCAGCACATCAACGACTTAAATCAAGAAATAGTTTTCTAAGATCTACAGAGACACTCGCTGGAACACCTCAGCAAGCGAGAGTCCAAAAGTGGCAGGCTCAAACCAGAACCTCAACCAATGGCTGATACCAAATGAGAGACTCCCCCTTGGGCACACAGAAAACTGGGCGACTTGGAAGGTGCTGAACAGACTGCGCTCTGGCACCACGAGATGCAGAGCCAACCTTCAAAAATGGGGCCACAAAGTGGAGTCCATGACATGCAAGTGGGGAGAAGAGCAAACCACAGACCACCTGCTGCAATGCAACCTGAGCACAATGGAGGACCTTCTTGTGGCAACACCAGAGGCACTCCAAGTGGCCAGATACTGGTCAAAGGACATTTAATCAACTACCAAGCTTGCAAATTCTGTGTTTTGTCTGTTTGGTTGTTTGTTTTTGTTAAAAATGTAATACAAATGTCTGGTTGCTGATGACACAATAAATAAATACTAGTATTATATTGTATTACATCAAGGATGATAAAAACATCAAATCATCCGGGTGTCCCCTGGGCAACGTCCTTGCAGACAGCCAATTCTCTCACACCAGAAGCAACTTGCAGTTTCTCAAGTTGCTCCTGACACAACAAAAAAAATAAATTGTATTACATTATAATATTATAAATATTATATGTATATATATTATATTATATTATATTATATTATATTATATTATATTATATTATTAGTAATTACTCTGCAGAATTAAATTACTGAATCTTAATCTCCTCGATTCCTGGTCTTAATTGGGAAGTAGAAAGGACCGGAAATATAGCTGGGCGATATGCGTTGACAACACTGTACCTGGTTGCTGAGCACCCCTTCCACCTGCTTGGTGTCCCTCAGGAAGATCTGGAAGCTGTACGCCTGAGACAACAGCTGGTGCCGGTTCTCCCACATCTGGCCCAGCTCATTCCAGCCGGTGTCCAGAGCCTGGAGGCGCTGCTGCAGGAACATGTGCTGGGCGTCCGTGTGGCCTTGCGTCACCTCCTTCCCCATGGCGCGCAGGCGCCGGTAGTCACCCCTGTAGTGTTCCACCTCGTTGCGGATGGTCTCGTGCAGGTTCAAGAGGCGCTCCGCTTCCGCCAGAGTGGCCGGCACGTCCTCCGAAGCGATGGCGGTCTGGGTGCGCAAGAGCCAGGCTTGGAAGTCATCCAGGTCGCGCAGAAAGCCCTGGAGCTTGCTGGCTTCCCCCAGAGACTCCTCCCGGTGCCGCATTGTCTCCCTCAGGTCCTCCCAAGTGCCGTCGATTTCGGATAAGCGGCCCAAAATCGCGGCCGACTGCTCCGGGTGGTGTTCCGTCAACCGGACAGCTTCCTCCCGCAGGTCCCGCACTTTGCCTTGGATGGCCTCTAGGTCCCGCTCCATGCCGGCCAGCTTCCGCTGCAGCGCCATCACGCCGGCCAAATCGTTGCCCAAGCCGTGGGTTGACTCGATCACTTTGGTCTTCTCCCGCATCCAAGCCTTGGTCTCGTTGCACTCCAGGTGGTAGTTCTGGATGCTGAGGGCGGACGTCAGAGCCTCCTTCTTTCGGCTGGCCAGGGCTTGGAACTGCTGCCACCTGAGGATGGAAAAATCACCCAGTCCTTAGCGCAGGTGAGGGCAAGCTTTCTGACTTGAGGGCCACATGCAAGCCCTCCCTGCTAGGAGGACTGGCTTCCTGGTGTGTCCAGAGGAGAGCGACTAAAATGATAAAGGGTCTGGAGAACAAGCCCTATGAGGAGCGGCTTAAGGAGCTGGGCATGTTTAGCCCGAAGAAGAGAAGGCTGAGAGGAGATATGATAGCCATGTATAAATATGTGAGAGGAAGCCACAGGGAGGAGGGAGGAGATCAAGGGTGTGGAGAACAAGCCCTATGAGGAGTGGCTTAAGGAGCTGGGCATGTTTAGCCTGAAGAAGAGAAGGCTGAGAGGGGATATGATAGCCATGTATAAATATGTGAGAGGAAGCCACAGGGAGGAGGGAGCAAGCTTGTTTTCTGCTTCCCTAGAGACTAGGACGCAATGGAGCAATGGCTCCAAAGTACAAGAAAGGAGATTCCATCTGTACATGAGGAAGAACTTCCTGACTGTGAAAGCCGTTCAGCAGTGGAACTCTCTGCCCCGGAGTGTGGTGGAGGCTCCTTCTTTGGAAGCTTTTAAACAGAGGCTGGATGGCCATCTGTCAGGGGTGATTTGAATGCAATATTCCTGCTTCTTGGCAGGGGTGTGGACTGGATGGCCCATGAGGTCTCTTCCAACTCTTTGATTCTATGATTCGATGGAGATCAAGAAGGAAGGAAGGGGAAGGAAAGAAAAAAGAAAGGGAGAAGGGAAGGAAAGAAAAGAGGGAGAGAGGAAGGAGGGAGGAAAGAGGGAAGGAAGGAAAGATGAAAGGGATGAAGAAAAGGAAGAAAGAGAAGGAAGGAAGGAGAAAGGAGGAAGAGAAGGAAGGAAGGAAGGGAAGGATAAAGGAAAAGGGGGGAGGGGGGAGAAAGAAGGAAAAGACAAAAAAGAAGGAAAGAAGGAAGGAGAAGGGAGAGGGAGGAAAGAGGGAAGAAAGGACGCAAAAGGAAAGAAGGATGAAAGGGTGGAAGAAATGGAGGACAGAAAAAGAGAAGGAAGGAAAGAGGAAAGGGAGGAAGTGAAGGATGGAAGGAAGGGAAGGATAAAGGAAAGAGAGAAAGAAGGAAAGACAAAAAGGAAGGAAGGAAGGAAGGAAAGGAAGGAAGGAAGGAAGGAAGGAAGGAAGGAAGGAAGGAAGGAGGGAAGGAAAGATAAAAAGAAAGAAGGATTCTGGATTGCGATTTCAACTCGAGATATATGGGATTATTATTGGTGGCCCAATAATTTGTTATTGAATTTGTTATTATATGTGTATATGTTTTTAAATTGTAGATTGTTTTAACTGCTGTAAACCGCAATGAGTCGCCGTTCTAGGCTGAGATATTAGCGGTATACAAGTGTATCAAATAAATAAATAAATAAATAAGGATGAAATGGTGGAAGAAAAGGGGGACAGAAAAAGAGAAGGAGGGAAGGATGAAAGGAAGAGAAGGATGGAAGGAAGGGAAGGATAAAGGAAAGAGAGACGGAAGAAAAGGCAAAAGGGAAGGAAGGAAAGGAGAGAGGGAGGAAAGAGGGAAGGAAGGATGAAGAGGGAAGAAAGGAGGACAGAAAAAGAGAAGGAAGGAAGGATGAAAGGGAGGAGAAAAGGATGGAAAGAAGGAAGATAAGGAAAGAGAGAAGGAAGAAAAGCAAAAGGGAAGAGGGGAAGGAAAAGGAGAGAGGAAGGAAAAGAGGAGAAGAGAAAGAGGGAAGAAGAAGAAAAGAGAAGGAAGGATGAAAGGGAGGTAGAAGAGGATGGAATGAAGGGAAGGATAAAGGAAAGAGAGAAGGAAGGAAAGACAAAAGGGAAGGAAAGAGAAGGAGAGAGGGAGAAAAGAGGGGGGAAAGGAAAGAAGGATGAAAGGGTGGAAGAAAAGGAGGACAGAAAGAGAGAAGTAGGGAAGGATGAAAGGGAGAAAGAGAAGGATGGAATGAAGGGAAGGATAAAGGAAAGAGAGAAGGAAGGAAAAACAAAAGAGAAGGAAGAAAGGAAGGAAAAGGAGAGAGGGAGGAAAGGGAAGGAAGGATGAAAGAGTGGAAGAAAAGGAGGACAGGAAAAGGGAAGGAGGGAAGGATGAAAGAGGGAGGGAAGGGAGGGCGGTAAGAATTGAAAGAGAGAAGGAAGGAAAGACAAAAGGAAGAAGAGAAGGACAAAAGGGTGGAAGGGAAGGATGGAAGGAAAGAGACGAGGAAGGAAATGGAAGGAGGGAGAAAGAGGAAGAAAGGGAGGGAGGAAAGAGAGAAAGAAAGACAAAAGGGAGGGAAGGAAGGAAGGAAAAAGAGGGAGAGAGGGAAAGAAGGATGAAAGGGTGGAAGGAAATGGAGGGAGGAAGAGGAAGGGAGAGAAGGAGGAAAGAGAAAAGACGAAAGGGAAGGAAGGAAAGAGAAAGATGGAGAGAGGGAAGGAAGGAAGGAAGAATTGTGGAAGGGAAGGAGAAAGAGGGAGGGAAGGAGGAACCAAAGAGAGAAGGAAAGAAGACTAGAATGGTGAGAGAGAGGAGGGCCTGAGAAAGGAGCCCAAGGGGCCGCATCCGGCCCGCGGGCCTGGGTTTGCCCATACCTAGGGTCAGCCTAGGGTCTTCAAGTATTGAAACTGGCACATCTGTTCTGTATTCCATTCCAGCACCCACAAAAGATCTCTCTGGTCTTTCTAGCACCTACCTGGTATTGAGTTTTTCTTGAGTATCCTGGATGCTGTTCTTGTTCCTGTGGTCAGTGCCCAAAAGCTGGGTCGCAATCTCATTCACAGCTGCAATGCGAGAGGCCAAGTTATTCATCTCTGGCTCCAGCGTCTCAAACCTAAGGCAGTGAGAATCAAAAGATTTCTGAAATATTGACCTACTCCAAAGTGGTCCAATACTTTAAACATATAGTCCCACTGCACATTGTCAAATGCTTTCTCAGCATCTAAAAACAATAATGCGACCTCTCTACTTGGGTTAATCTCTCAGGAGTGCTTTAATTGTATTTTCCTATCTGGCAGGGGGATGGACTAGATGGTCATTGGTGTCCCTTCCAACTCTATTATGATTCTATGGGATTTTTTTCATGTCCGGAGTGACTTGAGAAACTTCAAGTCGCTTCTGGTGTGAGAGAATTGGCCGTCTGCAAGGACGTTGCCCAGGGGACGCCCGGATGTTTTGATGTTTACCGTCTTTGTGGGAAGCTTCTTTCATGAATATATCATTTTGTGCATTGGCATGTCTTTGTCCCTGACAGTTCAAAGACATACTTAGCTACATCAGTTTAATAGCTGAGAGACCTAGCTGCCTTGCATGAATGCTGGGTTTTTGTGTTTGTTTGTTTTTTTCGTGTCAGGAGAGACTTGAGAAACTGCAAGTCGCTTTTTTCCTTGTTAATTTTAAAGCCTGACACAGTATTAAATTCATTAATAATTTCCAATAAGGCATGTATGCTTCTTAAAGCTTCCCTTAAGAAACAAACCAAATCATCTGCACACACCTTCCCTTTAAATTCATACTCTTTTACTTTAATTCTTTTAATTTCACTAACTTCTCTAATTCTATTGTTCAAAATTCCTAATATCCAAATGAACAGTAGAGGCGACTTTTTGAATTTCTATATAATTTGACATTTGATCATTTATTTTTAATTTGGCTCTTTGCCTTGAGTAAATAGCTTCTATTGCCTTTCTGAAATATTGACCTACTCCGAAGTGGTCCAATACTTTCAACATTGTCAAGTGCTTTCTCGGCATCTAAAAACAATAATGCAATCTCTCTACTTGGGTCTTGTTCGGTGTACTCTAATATATCTATCACTGTTCTCACATTTTGGCTCATATGCCTATCTGGGAGGAAGCCTACTTGATCCCCATGTACTAATTTGGTTAAGGTTTTTTTCAACCTGTCCACTAAAATTTCTGCGAATAACTTATAATTGTTATTGACCAATGAAATTGGTCTATAATTCTTCACTTGCTCGATATCTCTGTCTAGTTTGGGTAAAAGAACTATTGTAGCTTCCTCCCAGGACTTAAGCATCTCTCCTTTTTGGAGTACTTGATTCATCGTAGAAAGCAATAACGGGCCTAATTCTTCTTTATACACCTGATAAAACAAAGCAGAGAATCCATCTGGACCTGGGGCTTTATTTAATTTAGCTTTATCTATAGCTGTGTTCAATTCTTCCCAGGTTTCGGCGGTGACCACGGGAGCATTTGCACAGTTAAAACTTGTGCGCCAGCTGCGCCCGTACCTTGGGAAGTCTGACTTGGCCACGGTAGTCCACGCTCTGGTTACATCCCGCCTAGACTACTACAACGCTCTCTATGTGGGGTTGCCTTTGAAGATGGCTCGGAAGCTTCAAGTAGTCCAGTGCTTGGCAGCCATGATTCTAACAGGAGCAGAACGCAGGGAGCATACAACCCCCCTGTTGCGCCAACTCCACTGGCTACCGATTTGCTACCGGGCTCAATTCAAAGTGCTGGCGTTGACCTTTAAAGCCCTAAACGGTTCCGGCCCAAGCTACCTGTCCGACCGCATCTCTGCCTATGAACCCACCAGGACTTTGAGATCTTCCAAGGAGGCCCTGCTCTCGATCCCGCCAGCTTCACAAGCACGGTTGGCGGGGACGAGAGATAGGGCCTTCTCGGTGGTGGCTCCCCGGTTGTGGAACGCCCTTCCCACAGACATTAGATTAGCACCATTTCTAATGGTATTCCACAAGAAAGTAAAGACCTGGTTGCTTGTGCAGGCATTCGAATAATTTAGTGCAATGATTGGTAATGACATAGGAATGGAACAATGGATGACGAATCTGGATCGTGTTTTTTAGTGATGAGACGCTAGTGAATTGTTATTATAGTAATTGTGTACTAACTGTGTATTAGATTAGGCTGTTAACTGTTTTTTATATTGATGCATTGAATTTTGCTGTTTTCGTGTGCTGTGAACCGCTGTGAGTCGCCTCCGGGCTGAGAACAGCGGTATAGAAGTAAAGTAAATAATAATAATAATAATAATAATAATAATAATAATTTGTCTATCCAGATCTGATTTCATATCTTCTGGAGTTGACAGAGGGAGCACACCCGCACTCTCCCCGGATTCGAACCAGCGACCTGTCAGACTTCAGTCCTACCGCCACAAGGGTTTAACCCACTTCTATGATTCTATGGTGATTTCTGAGATAACTGCTGAAAGGGTACACTCACCTTTGTTGAACCACTTCGAGGTCTTCTAGCTTCTCTGGGACATCCATGGTTTCGATCCAGTACTCCCGCTCGCCGATCCAGAGCCCACAAGCGTCTGCTTCGCTGAACATCTTGTAGAGGTTGAGGGCATCCTGCAACGCCTGCTTGCGGTGCTCCGCCAACGTCACCAACTCCTCATAGCGCTGCTCCAAAGCAGGAAGGCGGCCATCCACCTCGGGGGAGTGGGCAAACGCGGGTGGCAAGCTTTGGGCTTGTTCGTGCAAGGCATCCAGGGTGGGCCGGTGGTTGTGAATCTCCTCTTCCACCTCCTTGTGCTTCTTCACCAAACTCTGCGTGGAATACTCGTCGTGGCCCACGTCGGAGCTGGACACCAACCGGAGGGCGTCCAGCAGCCAGGCTTCCATGTCATTTGCGTCGGCCTGGAACTGGTAAAAGTTGGAAGCCTGGAGGAGGCGTTGCTCCCGCTGGCTCGACAGCGCCTCCAGCTGCTCCCACTGCTCCTCGATTTCCCGGATCCGTTCGGCCACCTCGACGGCTCCAAAGTGGCCCTCGGCGACTAGCTGCCGGCCTTCGGTGATGCTCTGCTGCAGCGGCCCGGCGCGGCCGCTCATCTCGTCGTGGAAGGCGTTGTGCTTGCTGGTGAGTCGGCGCGAGCTGGTCAAGTCCTTGCCGAAGTCGTCCGACGAGAGGATTTGGCTCTGCTCCCGGATCCAGGCCTCCTCCTCCCCCATGTCCCAGAAGAACTTCCAGAGGCGGCGAGACTCCTCCAGCTTGGCCCGCCGCTGAGCTGCCAGGGCCACCAGCTCCTTATAGCACCGGTCCAGGGTTGCCAGGCGCTCTTGGACGAGGTGCGGGTCACAGGGCTTGTATCCTGGAGGGGCAAATACCACATTTGCATATTAAGCCAGCATTTCAAACATCCACACTTATAGAATGATAGAGTTGGAAGAGACCACATCTCTTGGGCCAGACTATTTCCTTTCTTATCAACAAGAAGAGTCAGCATCTGTCCGGAAACTGAGATGGAGCCAATATATTTTACCTGGCCAAACAATCTGTCAGTAATAAACCAATATTATTTTGCAATGTTACCTAAATATTAATAATAATTAAATATTTTTAAATTTGACATTTAATTTAATCCATTTTAATATTTGAATAATATAGCAAAGTAATAATATTTATCATTCAGTTTAAATATGAAACTCCTTAATATTTAGGTAACATTGCAAAATAATAATTTCTTTCCTATTTATTTTTTAAAATGGCATAAAAAAAATAAAGAAATAATATCCGGCGGGCGCGTGTCAGTAGAAATGGCTACGCGTGTCAGTACTGACACGTGTGTCATAGGTTCACCATCACAGGTGTAGTACTATATAGTAATATTGTACGCTCCGCCTCGTAGTTTAAGATCCACTGGGGAGGAAAGGAGGGAGGACGCCGATCTAATCTCGCTGGAGAACGAATTCCACAAGAAGGGGGTCACCACCGAGAAGGCCCTGTCCCTTGTCCCCACCAGATGCGTTTGCGAGGCCAGTGGGACTGAGAGCAGGGCCTCCCCGGTGGAGGCGGAGTGTAGAGGGAGATTTATACACAGCTTTTCTCCCCCTGAGGAAACTCAAGGCGGTTTCCTATATTATAAAGGCCAAATTCAGTCCCATACATACATGTGAAAACCAAAGGTGGCAATGCTGAAAAGAGGACGGTTGCCCCTGTTCCAGGTCTATCCCTCCTTCCTCTTTCATAGAATCATAGAGTTGGAAGAGACCTCATGGGCCATCCAGTCCAACCCCATTCTGCCAAGTAGCAGGAAAATTGCATTCAAAGCACCCTCGACAGATGGCCATCCAGTTTGTTTAAAAGCTTCCAAAGAAGGAGCTTCCACCATACTCTGGAGCAGAGAGTTCCACTGCTGAATGGCTCTCACAGTCAAGAAGTTCATGCACACTGGCAGTGGGCTTCCAGGGCAGAGAGTTCCACTGCTGAACGGCTCTCACAGTCAAGACGTTCATGCGCACTGGCACTGGGGAGACTTTGTGGGATTCTTCCTCCCTCAATTTTAGACCAATCCTGATGAAACTTGCAGCAAATTTCATTACCTTTGACTTATCCATGGATTTTTGGTGAATTTCCTAAGTTTTTATAAAAAAACATATTTTTAATAATAAGGAAAATCTGTTCCTGGTTTGAATGTGTTATTTCCTGCTTCGTTGGGTGGTCTTTACTTTGAAAGTAGTTGTTCTACTCCAGAAACTTTGTTTGTGTGGCAAAAACCGTGTTAAATTGGTGAACAGAAACCATCAAGGGACATCTAGACTGACCCCCTTCTTCTGGGCAGAAAGGCACCATCCAAACTTTCCTGACATCCATTTGCTTCCTCTACTGAGTTGGAGGGGACCTTCGAGACACATCTATCCATTTATTCCTTTTGGCAGAAGCAATCAATCATTTTATTTTATCATTGTTTACTAACGTAAAGGGCTAGTTGGCTGGCTGTGGCTGGCCTCCCCAGTGCCTTGTTCATGGCAATCAGGCAAAAGTAAAAGGATTGGTTCTTTAAGCAGTTTATGTTCTTTTGGCTTTGCAGAAGTTGCTTGTTGTTTTGTCCCTACCTCTTTCTTACCTTCTTTCCCTCCTTCCTTTGCTCCCTCTTCCTTCCCTTTTTTTCTTTCCTTCCCTTCTTCCTTCCTTCTCTACCTTTCCTTCCTTCCCCCCTTTTTCTTTATCTCTTTTTTCTCTCATTTCTTCCTTTCTTCCCTACCTCCTTCCTTCCTTCTTTCATACACTTTTTGCTTCCATCCTTCCTTCTCTCTTTCCTTCCCTCCCCCTTTCTCTCCTTCTTTCCCTCCTTCCTTCACTCCCTCTTTCCTTCCTTCCTTCCTTCCTTTTTTTCTTTCTTTCTCTCCTTCCTTCTACCTTTCCTTCCTTCCCTCTTTTCTTTATTTTCTTCTTTCTCTCATTTCTTCCTTCCCTACCTCCTTCCTTCTCTCCCTCTTTCCTTCTCTTTCCTTCCCTCCTTCCTTCACTCCCTCTTTCCTTCCTTCCCTTTTTTCTTTCTTTCTCTCCTTCCTTCCTTCTCTACCTTTCCTTCCTTCCCTTTTTATTCATCTCTTTTTTCTCTCATTTATTCCTTCCCTACTTCCTTCCTTCGCTTTCTGCTTCCATCCTTCCTTCTCTCTTTCATTCCCTCCCTTTTTCTCTTTCTTTCCCTCCTTCCTTCGCTCCCTCTTTCCTTCCCTTTTTTCTTTCTTTCTCTCCTTCCTTCCTTCTCTACCTTTCCTTCCCTCTTTTCTTTATTTTCTTCTTTCTCTCATTTCTTCCTTCCCTACCTCCTTCCTTCCGTCCTTCCTTCGCTTTTTGCTTCTCTCCTGCCTTCTCTCCCTCTTTCCTTCCCTCCTTCCTTCTCTTTCTTTCCCTCCTTCCTTCGCTCCCTCTTTCCTTCCTTCCCTTTTTTCTTTCTTTCTCTCCTTCCTTCCTTCTCTACCTTTCCTTCCTTCCCTTTCTATTTATCTCTTTTTTCTCTGATTTCTTCCTTCCTTCCTTACTTCCTTCCTTCGCTTTTTGCTTCCATCCTTCCTTTTCTCTTTCCTTCCCTCCCTCTTTCCTTCCTTTCAAATTTAGATTCCTCCCTCTCCACCTTTCCTGCATGGTTCAAAACTACATCGGATGTCCAAATTAGTAGGTTTTTTCCGAATGTCTGTTATTTCCGAGTGAATCTATCCAACCCTAGTGTCTACTACTAACATTAATACATTTTTGCAGGGGCTCTGCAATGTGCCTTGACACATCTAGCAAAATCAGGTTTGGCCCTGAAGACTTGGAGAAGGAGAGATCGAGCAGCCCAAAGGCAGAGTTGGAAGCAAGGAAATGAAACGGATGCCAGGCATCTATTATTATTATTATTATTATTATTATTATTATTATTATTATTATTATTAATTGATGCCAGGCATCTATTATTGCACTTTTCTGAACAATCCCATCTCCTGCAGACATCACCTTCTCCGGAAACGGCAAAGTGCTGGGCAGCGGCACTGACGGCTTTGACCCGTTCGGCTTGGACAGTGATGTCGGCCTCGACCAGAGCGTGGATCTGAAGCAGGTCCTCCACGCCGTGCAAATGTTTCCCAAAGTCCTGAGACTGGAGCCGGCCCTGCAAGGAAACATAGCAAAGGGTGAGAGAGCCATTTCCCAGTCCCTTGATTGTAAGCCACCCTGAGGCATTTGGACACATTTATTTATTCATTTACAACATTTCTATGCCACCCTTCTCATCCCGAGCGGCTTACAAGATATATATATACACATACAATATACTATATTGTTAGCATAGTACAATACCAGTATGATATATTACTATATTGTATTATAGCATTATATTGTAATATTATTAATAATATTACATGTAATATAAATAATTATAAAATCATATTATTAGCATGATATGCTTTACATTATAACAGTGTTTCTCAACCTGGGGGTCGGGACCCCTGTGGGGGTCGCGAGGGGGCGTCAGAGGGGTCGCCGAAGACCATCAGCAAACATAGGTGTTTTTTTGTTGGTCATGGGTTCTGTGTGGGAAGTTTGGTCTAATTCTATCGTTGGTGGGGTTCAGAATGTTATTTCATTGTAGGTGAACTATAAATCCCAGCAACTACAACTCCCAAATGTCACAGTCTATTTTTCTCAAACTCTTCTAGTGTTCACATTTCAGCATATTGAGTATTTGTGCCAAGTTTGGTCCAGATCCATCATTGTTTGAGTCTACAGTGCTCTCTGGATGTAGGTGAACTACAACTCCAAAAATTCAAGGTCAATGTCCACCAGATCCTCCCGGTATTTTCTCTTGGCCATGGGAGTTCTGTGTGCCAAGTTTGGTTCAATTTCATCATTAGTGGTGTTCAGAAGGCACTTTCATTGTAGGTGAACTATAAATCCCAGCCATTACAGCTCCCAAATGACAAAATTACCACCCCCCAACCCCACCAATATTCAAATTTGGGCATATTTGGGATTTGAAAATATTCACCACAACGTGAGGAACTGTACTAAGGGGTCGCGGCATTAGGAAGGTTGAGAAACACTGCATTATAATATTATAAATATTATATGTATATGCATTATATTATATTATTATCTATATAAATAAAAATGCAATGTTCGTTTGTGGGACACACATAACTCAAAAACCACTGGACGAATTGACACCAAATTTGGACACGTGTCACCTATCAGGCCAACGAGTGACCATCACTTATTAAAACACTGAAAAACACAGCAGAAGAGACTTAAAAAGCCAAAAAAATGCATTACAACGCATGCGCAAAACCATATAATAATAATATTATTATAATAAACTTTATTTAATACCCCACCACCATCTCCCCAATTACAATAAAATAAAACCAAAACACAATAACAACACAGTAAAATACATACAACATATGAGTACAAAAAAACCCACAATAAAGCTAAATCATACACAATAAAATAATGTGCAAGATAAAAAACTAATATATTAAAGATACTAAAATCAGGATGAGACAGGGATGGAGCAGATAGGGAGAAACTAATAAAGTAACGGGGAAATATATATACACAAACACACATATATACACATAAATATATGCAGATATATATGCATATATACATACACACACAAAACACATATATACAGAAAGGAGGGAGGGAGGGAGGAGAGGAAGGAAGGAAGGAAGGAAGGAAGGAAGGAAGGAGGAAGGAAGGAGAGGAGGGAGGGAGGGAAGGTGAGAAGGAAAGAAAGAAAGAAGGTAGAGAAGGAAGGAAGGAGAGAAGAAATCAAAAAGTGAAAGAAGGAAGGAAAGAGAGACGGAAGGGAGGAGAGAAGAAACGAAAGATAGAAAGAGGGAGGGAAGGAAGGAGAGACACAAGGAAGGATGGAACCAAAGAGCAAAGGAAGGGAGGAAAGAATGAAGAAAGAAGAAGGGAAAGGGGAACGTAAAAAAAAAAAAGAGGGAAGGAAGGAAAGAGAGAGGGAAGGGAGGAAAGAAAGAAAGGAGAGAAAGAGGGAGGGGAGGTTGGCTACAGCAACGCATGGTGGGTAAGCTAGTGTTGTTCATTCGTTCAGTCGTTTCTGACTCTTCGTGACTTCATGGACCAGCCCACGCCAGAGCTCCCTGTCGGCCGTCACCACCCCCAGGGTCTCCTTCAAGGTCAATCCAGTCACTTCAAGGATACCATCCATCCATCTTGCCCTTGGTCGGCCCCTCTTCCTTTTTCCTTCAATTTTCCCCAAAGCTAGTATTATAATATATTATTAACATAGCACAGGAGACAAGGTGGAACTGTCTTCTGCCCCCCTCTCTCTTCACTCTGGACCAGAGCAGCAGTTGGTGCAGGGGGTTGGAATATACTCTAAATGTTTAAGTAACAATTTAAAAATTGCCTCCAAATCAGCCCAATTAAAAAAAAAAAAGTAACCTGGAATCTTGGGAAAGTGCTGCATGGACTGCAGTTGAGAGTCCCACGGGTTGAAGTTTGTCCATCTCTGCATTACTAATTTTGATCCAACACACCCTGGCTCTCTCCCTTCCTTTCCCCATTACCTTCATCTCCTCCAGCCAATCCATGAGGTAGGCCAAGTCCTGGAACATCTTCTGCAGCTCGAAATGGAGCATCAGGCGCTCGCGGCGGGCAGCCACCAACTCCCGCAGGTAATCCCACAGCCTCGCGACATTGTTCTTGCGCGCCAGCACCCGCTTGATGTCGTGGTAGCCCTCCATCTCTAGCTCGTCTGCCACCGCATTCACGGCTGCCACGCGCTCACTGTAGGCCACAATGTCTGTTTCGATGGCTTCGTGTTTCCGCACTGCTGCCTCCACCGCCGAAATATCTAACCCAAAGTTATCCTGCAGGTGAAGACAACAAAGGAAGAAACCATGGAAATGAACAAAATCTGGCTACCAGTATTAAAAAACTCTAAAATTACAACAGCAAAACAGCAGAGAGGAAACAAACAAGAACATCTAATCATCTCTCAACAAAAGATTGCCCCAAGCACTGCCGGGCCATTATATGCTAATCAAGGTGGTCAGTTGAAACATTCACACCTAGCTCCAGCAGATATATAAACCCATTTTCCTACTTCCAACAGACCTCACTACCTGAGGATGCTTGCCATACATGCAGGCGAAACGTCAGGAGAAAATGCCTCTAGAACATGGCCATATAGCCCGGAAAAACCTACAACAACCCAGTTGTTGTTGTTATTTCTTACCCATCTCTCTCTCTCTGTGTGTATGGATTGAAGTGGGGGAAAGACTACCAATATACGAGGGGCGTTCATTAAAGTTTCCCCCTGACCCATTTCTATTTATCACAGGATGCTGAAACTGCACAAGTGTCATGATATAAGTGTCTATAGGTTATGTGCCAATTTATAACTCAGAACTGAGAACGGTCTTGATTTGGCAGGTGCTGAAGTGGTGTGACGTTTGAGAATGAACTTAGTGGAAGACAGAGCAGTCCTCAAGTTCCTTTACTTGAAAGGCTGCACACCAAAGAAGATGTTCGATAAGATGAAAGACATTATTTTGTTTTTTTTAACATCCAAGAAAGCCTTTATTCACATCCCCACAAAACATGCTTCTAAAAGCGCAGAGATCAAAAGAAAAACTTTCTTCTCAGTACTTGAAGCATATGGGAGAATACATATTTTAAATAGCCTTTGGCCCCAATTGTTTTTTTTTCCTTTTAATTTTTTTAATTTTTTTATTTATTGTAGCTTTAACATATTCGGTATTTAAACACTCTTATACTTATCACTTCCTATTAACAATTGTACAGAACATGTATATCTTGATAGCTATAATATTTCATTCTCCTACTTCATTACATCCAATCACCCAGTGCTAACCCTTCACCCCCGAGCAGCCAATTACAATACTTATTCCCAAAAATCAGTTGTTTCTATTACAGGTTTGGTCCCCTTACCTTCTATATATACATATTCTATCAATTTCCCTCAAATCTTCCCAAAATCATCTTTTTTTTTATAATCCTCTTTTAACCTTAATGTTTCCTGTCAGTTTATCGTTTATTGCGATGTCCCAAATCTCCCTATACCACTCTTCCAATTGGCACTCCCCTCCTTCTTTCCATTTTTTAGCTATTAATAATCTTGCTGCTGTTACCAGATTGGCAATTAATTCTTTTAGTTCTTTTGGTATTTTAACATTGTCAATAAATGACAGCAGTGCTATCTCCGGTGTTCCTGTTATCTCTATTTGGGTGATTCTTCTTATTTCTTGAAATACATTTTCCCAAAAAAATTGAACATATTTGCAAGACCACCACATGTGTATAGATGTGCCAGTTTCTTGACAGCCCCTCCAGCACTGCTTAGAATGTTTCTTGTCAATTTGATTTAATCTGATTGGTGTGAGGTACCATCTCCACACCACTTTGTAATAGTTCTCTTTTATTCTTATTGACATATTTTTTAATATACGCATATTCCACATTCCTTTCCAGTTTTGTGGGTGTATTACTTTATTACAATCCAACTCCCACATTCTTTTAAGGCGGTCCTCCTCCTGGACTTCTTCCAACAGCATTTTGTAGATATCACTTGTTATACCTTTTGTTCTTTCTTTTCCTTCCTTACTCCCCCTTTGGCTAATCATTTCTTCAAATTTGGTAAATTCCCTCTCTCCTTTATATTTCTTTCTTATTTCCCTTAACCATCTTTCAAGTTGTAGAACTTTATACCATCCAATGTTCCCTCCTGATAACTGGACCTTTATCTCATCTATATTTTTCATCTTTGATTCCCAATCTTTTAATTTCGTTATTCCTTTTTCCTTGAATTCACTTTCCAACTCCTTTTTGAGATTTATGGGGAAAGAAATTGATGGTGAGGATTTCCCTTCATATAATGGAGTCCAGAACTGGCATCGTCCATTCCAATGTGGTCAGACTTTGGTGGAAACAGCTCCAATTCCAGGGTGACCCCACTCTGTTATTGAGGAACACACCGTCCAGCAAGTGGAGGTCACCATTTTGGAAAATCACTACGTAACCCTTTGCCACCTAGCCCAAAATATCAAGTTGAATGTGGGGTCCATGGAAAAAATCCTTCAAGACCATATTCCCATGCATAAGGTGTCCACTCACGGGGTCCCCCAACTGCTCACACTTTTCCAGAAGCAAGAACGAATTGAATGCCCTCAGGCTCTCTTGACAATGATGTGACATGGAAACAGGAGGACTTCTTCAACAGACGGATCACACAGGATGAAAAACTGGGTCCATCCCTCTGATCCTGAGACTCAAATCCAGTTGATGCAATGGAAACATCCTGACTCACCGCCTCCAAAGAAGGCTCCTGCCCAACTCTCGGTAGGCAAGGTCATGCTCACAGGATTTTGAGACCAGTATGGAGTAGTATGGATTGATTTCCTAGCAAAGGGGACCATGATCACTGGGGCAGGCTAGGATTCACTGCTGTGGACATTGCGGGAGGCCATCAAAACCAACAGACAGAAGTAGCATGCTCACCATGCACTAGAATCATAGAATCATAGAGTTGGAAAAGACCTCATGGGCCATCTAGTCCAACCCCATTCTGCCAAAAAGCAGGAATATTGCATTCAAAGCACCCCTGACAGATGGCCATCCAGCCTCTGTTTAAAAGTTTCCAAAGAAGGAGCCTCCACCACACTCCGGGGCAGAGAGTTCCACTGCTGAATGGCTCTCACAGTCAGGAAGGTTTTCCTCATGTTCAGATGGAATCTCCTCTCTTGTAGTTTGAAGCCAGGACAGCAGAAAACAAGCTTGCTCCCTCCTCCCTGTGACTTCCTCTCACATATTTAAACATGGCTATCATATCTCCTCTCAGCCTTCACATGCCCAGCTCTTGATGCCGCTCCTCATAAGGCTTGTTCTCCAGACCCTTGATCATTTGAGTCGCCCTCCTCTGGACACATTCCAGCTTGTCAACATCTCTCTTCAATTGTGGTGCCCAGAATTGGACACAATATTCCAGGTGTGGTCTAACCAAGGCAGAATAGAGGATGGGGAGCAAGGCTTCCCTAGATCTAGACACTATGCTCCTATTGATGCAGGCCAAAATCCCACTAGCCTACAACTCACATGTTGCCCAAATGGAAGAAGCATGCTTCGGTGGCTTTGACGTTCTACCTCGCACCATCAGACTTCCATCTCTTTCCAACAAAGAAGTTATTTTTGAAGGGCAAGCATTTCTCAGGTGAGGAGATCCTAATTTCTCAAGTCACAACATCACTTTTGGAGCAACCTGCCAACTTCTGCAAGTGAGGTGTTGACAGTTGCTTCAAAAAATGGGAGAAGTGTGTGTCCTGAGGTGGCACCCATGGAGAGCAGGACTCATCACTGGGCCAAGGAAATTTCTAATGAACACCCCTCGTATATATAACATCATTTGAAAAGACACATGTGCCCATCCAACCCACATCTTGCTTTCCATGTAAGAAAACAGACCTGGGAAACGAGGCGCTGGTTCTCGCTCAGCCAGGTCTCGCGCATGGCTGCTTTTCGGTCAAACCGGGCTGCCAGTTGTTCCAGCTTCTCTTGCCGAATCAACTCGTTGCGAAGGGCTAGCTCTCGCTCGTGCTCTGCTTTCTCCAGGCGCTCCCAACCCTGCAGAGAGTTTGATGGAGATCAGAAGAGGGGAGAAATAGAATATGTGCAATTTCACAGGCACCACGATGAAGAAATCATGGCACTACCTCCAACCACTGAATACCACGGACCCATTGGAGATATGTTAAGCAAGCCCTCACTCAAACACAGATGAGGGTTTTGGGGGATTCAGAAGCCATACTTAGGGGTCTCAAGGATAGCTCACTGGCAAGACTTTGCCTACAGCTGGGATAGATGAACATGGTTCTCAGGAGGCTTCTTACAGCTCTGAGTCCTTGCCTCTTCTGCCATCCTTCTTTGTTGCCTCACCTTGTTGATGTCCGAGATCAGCCTTCCCTCTCTTGGAGTGTAAACCTTCTGGTTATTGGCTCGCATTTTACTCTGGATGGTGAAAAGCAGAACTTCAAGATTACCTTTCTCTGTGAACCTGGAAGTAAATACAATACAATAAAATAAATACAATACAATATCCCAAGGTATTTCCAAAACTCTCTGAACCAATAGGAATGCTGCACTTACTTGGGGGGTTTCTCCACCGTGCGGTAGGTGTTGAACGCCTGGAGCTGGTTCTGGACTCCACTCAGGCAGTTGGCCAGCTTCCGGTCGTTCAGGGTCAATATGGTTTGCTCGATCCACTGGAGCAGGTCAGAGGCGAGCGTCTCGTACTTCTCAATCAGCTTGTCAGCTTCGATGGCGTAATCCAGCACCTGGAGAGTTTGAAGAACATACACGTTTCTAAACAGCTCCTATGGTAACCCAGGCAGCATTGGGGGAATTCTGGGAGATGTAGTTTGGAGAGCAACAGCATCAATGTCTCCTCTTCCTCCACCTTCGTTCTCCCGAGTTTTCCCCTTAGGGTACCTTCCCAATCCGTTTTCCTTCCACAGCTAAGGCTTTCATCTTGGAGAAATAGTGGTAGTAGGTGGCGACGTAGGTAATGATGGACTTCTCATCTGGCTGGTCGACGTTCACATCTAGGAAAAAGAGTGGAAGAAGAATGGAGACGTGAGAGAAAGAAGGTAATGCAAGAGACTGGACACTTGGTTTGGCAGATGGACATTCTTACTGGTGAGACTGGTTAGCAGGATTAGAGTAGAGTTGGATGATCATAGAATCCTAGAGTTGGAAGAGACCTCGTGAGCCATCCAGTCCAACCCCATTCTGCCAAGAAGCAGGAAAATCACATTCAAAGCACCCCCAACAGATGGCCATCCAGGCTCTGTTTAAAAGCCTCCAAAGAAGGAGCCTCCACCATACTTCGGGGCAGAGAGTTCCACTGCTGAACAGCTCTCACAGTCAGGAAGTTCTTCCTAATGTTCAGATGGAATCTCCTTTCTTGTAGTTTGAAGCCATTGCTCCTCGTCCTAGTCTCCAGGGCAGCAGAAAACAAGCTTGCTCCCTCCTCCCTATGATTTCCTCTCACATACGAGGGTTGAATGAAAAGTAATGCCTCCAACTTCATAATTCAACAGATGGCACTACTAGTATGCAGCAGGTACTGACTTGTTCAGTAGACTCTCCTCTACAGCAGAAGGTGTCACCTCAACATCTTTAAACTTACGCGCCCAATGACGCACAGTCCTCACATCAACACAATCACCATAAACAGCTTGCATTCTCTAATGAATCTCCTTTCGGGTGACACCTTCTGTTGTCCAGAATTCAATGACTGCACATTGCTTAAGTCGCACTGACTGACCGTCTGTGCAGGGTTCCATACTTTGCACAACCGTTCAATGCTAAGGCTTCCTGCCAAAATGGAACTGTAGAGGAGAGTCTACTGAACAAGCCAGTACCTGCCACATACCAGTACTGCCAACTGTTGAGGAATTATGAAGGTGGAGACATTACTTTTCATTCAACCCTCGGATTTATACATGGCCTTCATCATGTCTCCTCTCATCCTTCTCTTGTGAAGGCTAAACATGCCCAGCTCTTTAAGCCGCTCCTCATAGGGCTTGTTCTCCAGACCCTTGATCATTTGAGTCGCCCTCCTCTGGACACATTCCAGCTTGTCAATATCTCCCTTCAACTGTAGTGCCCAGAATTGGACACAGTATTCCAGGTGTGGTCTAATCAAGGCAGAATAGAGCATGGGGAGCATGACTTCCCTGGATCTAGACATTAGGCTCCTCTTGATGCAGGCCAAAATCCCATTGGCTTTTTTTGCCACTGCATCACATTGTTGGCTCATGTTTAACTTGTTGTCCAAGAGGACTTCAAGATTTTTTTCACACGTACTGCTCCCGAGCCACGTGGGTAAATGACCATAATCATAATAATATTGCATTCACATGAACGATAGACAACACAAGAAGTGGGTAAATAGCAATAATAATAATAATAATAATAATAATAATAATAATAATAATAGCAATAATGCATTCACATGAATGATAGACCACTCAAAAAGTGGATTAATAAAAATAATATTAATAATAATGCATTCACGTTAATGATAGACAACATAAGAAGTGGGTAATAAAGAATAATAATAATAATAATAATAATAATCCATTCCCGAATCCCTCTGAGGAGATAGGGCGGAATATAAATAAAGTATTATTATTATCCCTCATTCTATATCTTTGCATTAGGAATCTCTTAGTACAGGCATGTGTAAACTTCGTCATGATGAAATATGATGTATAGTTTGACTGAATTGTATGAAAGGTGTATCGATGGGCCCTAATTTGGCTGAAAACACCATTCTAAAACACCGTAATTAAAACCTGCTAATGAGAACTGAAATGGTTGACCTGCCATTGTAAACTGCTGAAATTGATAGGAACTGTGACAATGATTAACTGTTGAGATTTTGGGGGAAAACGTGTTTACATTAAACCAGTGATTCTCAACCTTACTAATGTTGCGACCCCTTAATCCAGTTCCTCATGTTGTGGTGACCCCCAACCATAAAATTACGTTCGCTGCTAATTCATAACTGTAATTTCGCTACTGTTAAGAATCATAATGTAAATATCTGATCTGCAGGGTGTATTTTCGTTCACTGGACCAAATTTGGAACAATTTTGGTCCAGAAATAAAATTTGAAGAAACGGCACTCTCTAACTTGACGCCTTCCAAAGGTCTTGGGCAAAAGCCCCCATAATCCCCAAGTCACATGGCCAGTGATCAATGGTCATGTAACTGGGGATGATGGGAGATGTCACCCAATACACCCAATGACTTTGTCATTTGGGAGTTGCAGTTGCTGGGATTTATAATTCACCTACAATCAAAGAGCATTCTGAACTCCACCAACGATGGAATTGAACCAAACTTGGCACACAGAACTCCCATGACCAACAGAAAATACTGGAAGGGTTTGGTAGGCATTGACCTTGAGTTTGGGAGTTGTAGTTCACCTACATCCAGAGAGCACTGTGGACTCAAACAATGATGGATCTGGACCAAACTTGGCACATGCTCAAAGGTAAAGGTAGTCCCCTGACATTAAGTCCAGTCATGTCTGACTCTGGGGTGTGGTGCTCATCTCCATTTCTAAGCCGAAGAGCCAGCGTTGTCCGTAGACACCTCCAAGGTCACGTGGCCGGCATGACTGCATGGAGCGCCGTTACCTTCCCGCCGGAGCGGTACCTATTGATCTACTCACATTTGCATGTTTTCGAACTGCTAGGTTGGCAGAAGCTAGGGCTGACAGCGGAAGCTCATGCTGCTCCCCGGAATCGAACCTGCGACCTTTCGATCAACAAGCTCAGCAGCTCAGTGCTTTAACCCACTGTGCCACCGGAGGCTCCTGGCACGAATACTATATATGCCCAAATGTGAACACTGGTGGAGTTTGGGAAAAATAGACCTTAACATTTGGAAGTTGTAGTTGCTGGGATTTATAGTTCACCTACAATCAAAGAGCATTCTGAACCACACCAATGATAGAATTGGGCCAAACATCCCACACAGAACCCCCATGACCAGCAGAAAATACTGTGTTTTCTGATGGTCTTTTGGCGACCCCTTTGACACCCACTCGCGACCCCCTCAGGGGTCCCGACCCCCAGGTTGAGAACCACTGCATTAAACAGAGACAATGGCTCTTTTAAGTCAATGATGTTAATAATAATAATAATAATAATAATAATAATAATAATAATAATAACAATAATAACAATAGTGCCTTATCTCCCTGACTCAGGGAGGTTTCCAACATATAAGGCAAAACATTTAACTGCCAAGAAGAAAATCATACAGACAGAAAACACAAAAATCCTGCTAAAACACAACAATAAAAAATAACAATAAAAAATTAAATGTTAAGAAGGAAGTAAACACAAGCCTTGCTTTATCAACACTAATAAAGAAGAGTCAACATCTGCCTGGAAACTGAGAAGGAGCCAGGATGTTTTAGCTGGCCAAAACTGTGGAGGAGAGTCTACTGAACAAGCCAGTACCTGCCGCATACCAGTACTGCCATCTGTTGAGGAGCTACGAAAGTGGAGGCATTAATTTTCATTCAACCTACGTAGTTATATAGAGTCTGTATGTCCAATTGTTGTTCTGTAAAAGTTCTGATACCCTTTCTCATTCTGGAAAATTGCAATAAAAAGGACCTACATTTCAAAGTTATTGAAAAGTTATTCATAACAACTTTGGCCCTCCGGGTGTTCTGGACTTCAACTCCCACAACCAGCATCAGTATCCTGGGTACCCATCGTGCACAGATCTACCGGCTGTTAGGAATTGTGGGAGTTGAAGTCCAGAGCATCCAGAGGGCCAAAATGTGCCCATTCTTGATCTAGATCAGTGGTTCTCAACCTGGGGGTCGGGACCCCTGCGGGGGTCGCCAGGGAGTATCAGAGGGGTCACCAAAGACCATCAGAAAACACAGTATTTTCTGTTGGTCATGGGGGTTCTGTGTGGGAAGTTTGGTCCAATTCGATTGTTGGTGGGGTTCAGAATGCTCTTTGAGTGTAGGTGAACTATAAATCCCAGCAACTACAACTCCCAAATGTCAAGGTATATTTCCCCCAAACTCCACCAGTGTTCACATTTGGGCATATTGAGTATTCATTTCAAGTTTGGTCCAGATCCATCATTGTTTGAGTCCACAGTGCTCTCTGGATGTAGGTGAACTACAACTCCAAACTCAAGGTCAATGCCCACCAAACACTTCCAGTGTTTTCTGTTGGCCATGGTAGTTTTGTGTGCCAAGTTTGGTTCAATTCCATCGTTGCTGGAGTTCAGAATGCTCTTTGATTGTAGGTGAACTATAAATTCCAGCAACTACAACTCCCAAATGACAAAATCAATCAATCAATCAATCTCCCAACCCTACCACTATTCAAATTTGGGCATATCGGGTGCCAAATTTGTGCCAAATTTGGTCCAGTCAATGGAAATACATCCTGCTTATCAGATAATACATTACAATTAATAACAGGAGCAAAATTACAGTTATGAAGTAGAAAAATAATTGTATGGTTGGGGGTCACCACAACATGAGGAAATGTATTAAGGGGTCGCGGCATTAGGAAGGTTGAGAAACACTGATCTAGATCCTCCAGCAGAAGTTGACCACAGAGTTGACCTAAAACTGAGACTCCTAGACCGAGAACCCAGTCCCCTGCACCCGTCCCCCAGGAAACCCACCTTCTGGGTCCAAGAGCTTGGTGAGGCCCAGCTCCTTCTCGGCAATGTTGAAGGCATTCTGGAGGTTGTAGTGTGCGTTGCATTTCTTCAAGGTGTCGATGTCTATTAAGTCTGGCCTGTTGAAGAAGCCAAGGTGAAGACGAGCATAACACACACCCAAATATCTTACAATGGGAAATGTGCAATCCCAGATCTGCTCTGATGAGATATCCCACTCCTCTTCCCAGGATACAACGTCAGCTCTGACCTGTGTTTGTGGACAATTGCGTTGAAGGCTAGGCCGTCCCTCCAGCTGGTGGTGAAGTTGTGTACATTCACATTTGGGTACCTGTAAACACACACATGAGACACAGAGAGATCAGATGAGAGATAAAAGTCCCTGTTGAACTGTGTTGTCAAAGGCTTTCATGGAATCACTAAGTCGCTGTGAGTTTTCCAGGCTGTCTGGCCATGTTCCAGAAGCATTCTCTCCTG